GCCTTGACCCTCGTCGCTGACTGAAACGATCACGACTCAGAGATTGAGACTTGAATGATTTGGTTCAGCAGGAGAATGAAATGCGTTCTTGTCTATTGTTTCATAGAGCCAATTCAAAGTAAACATAAAGCTCTCATCGGTGGTGTGGCAGGCGCTGGAGTATTTGGACTGGTCGCAGTTGTAGCTCTGGTTGTTTTGTTGGTCAAGTTCCGAAGGACGCAACGGTTACCAAGCAACAATGACGAGAGAGTTGGACAAAACAATCTTGCTTTCAAGCTGGAAAATGACGTGAAAGGAAAACAAAGCAGTGCTTAAAACGATTACAGTGTTAAAGACTAGTGGTAGCTTCAATGCCGGGTTTGCTAAATTGCCTGAATTTATAGCCTGTTCGTCACTTTTCAGGGGAACATATTTGTTTGCGTATTTCCATATTGCAGAGCACGTGAAAACTAACACTGGTTTCACCAAGGGCTCAATGTTATTTTGAAGAAGGTGTCCTACAGACACTTAGCAGTACAGCAGTGTATATTGGTCAAACCCTTTAATTTTGAGCGTATACCGAGATCATGTATAATCAGCTATTAAGAGGCTGTCTCTCTTATTTCCACCCGGTCAATTTTGCGTCAAAAATAATTTTGCCTGAAACTCTGTTAACAGAAAGACTTTACCTAGGAAAGAACTAAATTAGATTTGGTTTGATTCGAAATAATTTTCTGACTGCATTACGGGCCATAATTATTTCCCAGTCCGTAGGGACCGTCGCAACGTCTCAAAAATTTGAAAAATAGGCATATTTTGTAACGTTGTAAAATATTTGATTCGCATAGTTAAGCCACAGAATTTATATCAGATTGCTTAAAAACCTTTCTAGTTTGCCAAGAAAGTTAGAATTTGCCCTCTCGACATATTTGAAAAGGCGAATTTTAGCATATTCTGACCACTAGAAATCGCCATCGGCCGATGGCCGTAAATAACCTTGATTTAGACGCTAAGTTTTGGGATTTGGGACCTGGTTGACGATTCTATCCTACACAGCCGTTAAGTTTAGACCTTTATAGGCAAAAATATGCAAAAAACCCTGTACGTTTTCGATTTTTCAAAGTTATGACCATTTGAATCAGCACATGTACGAGCATTCGCGATTTTTTCGCCTACACCAAAATCGAACCACTGGAGCAGATTTCGTCATAAATACAGCTTACCCGCTTTGCAGCCCGGCTTCATGGCTCACTTCAGAATTTTTCTAATAACCAGATTGGTGAAATCTATGATAACTTCAACAAATAGCTAGGTATTGCCTTCGAAAAGTAGGCGGCATCCATCGTGATTCGTGGTATCAAAACAAATGCCGGAATTGGCCACATTTCGCGGTGAATCACCCATTTAACATCGCTGCAGAGCTGAATTTTTTCCAAAATCAGAATATAAACTCTCCATGTCTGGAAGCTGAGGGAGAAATGAAGGTTTTAGGCTTCTGAAGTGAAGAAATAATCGCTCAAATTTAGATCCAGTTCGATGTTATACTGTTCTCACAAAGGTCCGCACAAAAGAGAAGACCGCTGATAACTTGTGCCGTACGTTGTGCCATATGGTTTTGTTTTGTATCCCAATGTAATATTTGGGCAGAAAAATTTTGGATGAAAAGAATAAATGCTTTTACCTGGAGTTTGATATCATATAATTAATAAATAAATTTCAAATATCCTGAGCTTGCTTCTCTCGGTTCCGCGTCGATTGTGTCCACAGAACAGCAACCTGTCAATAGCCGGAGAAATCATGGGTTTATGCGAAATAATTTCAGATATTCCTCGCTTCCCAAACTGGTGAACTGGACTTTATGATAACTCCAGCAAATACCTCCAATTCAGCGGTCGGCATCTGTCGATACTCTTCTTTGACTCGTTGTTGCGAACTAAACTCGAAAACTAAAGCCATGTTTCGCGCTTAATGTCCCGTTGAAACTTTGGATTGCAGCTGCATTCTCTTCAAGAATCAGTCATAGAACTCCACTTGTAGGTCTATGTGTCGAAGTTTGTCGTTTTGGAATTTAAAGCTGTACGATTGCACTATCGCGCATAACAGAGGTCCGCATTAATCATTGCGGGTGAACCCCCTGACCCTTTATTTTTTTTGGAAGGCCTGCAAGTGTAGTATGGCATGCAAGTGCTTTTTCGAAACCAGAGAGGCTTCAGTCTGTAGTGAGTCCTCAGTGAGGTTGTTAAAGCTTTCATTGGACAGAGGATGTGCATTGACGAAACACCCAGTGAAAGGAACAACAGCTGCAGTAAGAATAGTAGACGAATCAAAGAACACTCTCTGTACAAATAAGATTGAGCATTTTAGTAGCTTCCACAACTTCGAATATGGAGATATCGGTCTGAGAGTTTGGAAATGTTATGGCATCGGTAAAGGGAAGTACATTCCATATGACGTAATTTATATCAAGCACCAAGGTCAAACGTCCCTTCAAACCATAGAATCTCAAGGGTTTTATGATCCTCCTGAAAAGCGTGTGGTCAAGCGTCGTTCAAAGGGCAGCAAGGAAACAGAGAGTACAACGCCATTGTTTGAATGCTTTGTGTTTGGATGTGTTGAAGTGTTCGAAATCTTTTTGCAGCTGGAGCTGTACCTGGACGTTGGAAAGCATACAGTCAGCAGGTTAAAGCCAGTATGATGCAATCAAAAGGGACTGGGCCCTTAAGTTCTCGTCGATAGATACCGCTGGTATCGAGTGTTCGAGCTGTTCGTTAGATTCTAGTACACCACTCACTTCTCCCGTGGATACTTCGCCCCACTCGTCTTTACGAACAGGATGGGCCGTAAGCAAACCAAGGGGCAGCGTTAGATTTTCAGAGAAGGTAAAAGAATACCTAAAGGCACGGTTTACATTTGGCGAAAGAACTGGGCGAAAGGCCGACCCCGCCCAAGTTGCAGTGGACATGCGAAATGCGAAAAATGAATCAAATGCACGTTTGTTCACTAGAGAACAGTGGCTGACAAAGAGCCAAGTTCAGAGCTTTTTCTCCCGGCTAGCAGCAATGCGGCGAAAAGATCAGGGTGTGATCGGGATATCACTGGATGAGGAGGAAGATATCCAATGCGTCCAGGAAAATTCCGAGAGATAAGATCTGGTAGACAAAGTTAACAAAGAGATCAAAGTCTCACATCCAATCTGCTACGATACGTAGGACCTCTGTGAACGTTACCACAATAACACACTTCAGAAATTCAATGTGGTTTTGTTGAGAGCCATCTGTAGTTATTTTGAGATCCCTGTAAAATTGAGAGACAAAAAACAGATCCTCCTAGACAAATTGTCGGACGTGATTAGTGATTGTCAGTGTGTATCTCAGTAGACTTATGTAAACAATGTCTTATACGGTGGCTGAAAGTGTAGAATATGCTCTACAGATACAAACTACCTTTACTTCCGATATCAAGTTCTGACGGCATTGTTATAGTGTAATATATTATAATATCTAGTAGTATAATATCGACGCGGAACCGAGAGAAGCAAGCTCAGGATATTTGAAATTTATTTATTAATTATATGATATCAAACTCCAGGTAAAAGCATTTATTCTTTTCATCCAAAATTTTTCTGCCCAAATATTACATTGGGATACAAAACAAAACCATATGGCACAACGTACGGCACAAGTTATCAGCGGTCTTCTCTTTTGTGCGGACCTTTGTGAGAACAGTATAACATCGAACTGGATCTAAATTTGAGCGATTATTTCTTCACTTCAGAAGCCTAAAACCTTCATTTCTCCCTCAGCTTCCAGACATGGAGAGTTTATATTCTGATTTTGGAAAAAATTCAGCTTTGCAGCGATGTTAAATGGGTGATTCACCGCGAAATGTGGCCAATTCCGGCATTTGTTTTGATACCACGAATCACGATGGATGCCGCCTACTTTTCGAAGGCAATACCTAGCTATTTGTTGAAGTTATCATGGATTTCACCAATCTGGTTATTAGAAAAATTCTGAAGTGGGCCATGAAGCCGGGCTGCAAAGCGGGTAAGCTGTATTTATGACGAAATCTGCTCCAGTGGTTCGATTTTGGTGTAGGCGAAAAAATCGCGAATGCTCGTACATGTGCTGATTCAAATGGTCATAACTTTTGAAAAATCGAAAACGTACAGGGGTTTTTGCATATTTTTGCCTATAAAGGTCTAAACTTAACTGCTGTGTAGGATAGAATCGTCAACCAGGTCCCAAATCCCAAAACTTAGCGTCTAAATCAAGGTTATTTACGGCCATCGGCCGATGGCGATTTCTAGTGGTCAGAATATGCTAAAATTCGCCTTTTCAAATATGTCGAGAGGGCAAATTCTAACTTTCTTGGCAAACTAGAAAGGTTTTTAAGCAATCTGATATAAATTCTGTGGCTTAACTATGCGAATCAAATATTTTACAACGTTACAAAATATGCCTATTTTTCAATTTTTGAGACGTTGCGACGGTCCCTACGGACTGGGAAATAATTATGGCCCGTAATGCAGTCAGAAAATTATTTCGAATCAAACCAAATCTAATTTAGTTCTTTCCTAGGTAAAGTCTTTCTGTTAACAGAGTTTCAGGCAAAATTATTTTTGACGCAAAATTGACCGGGTGGAAATAAGAGAGACAGCCTCTTAATAGCTGATTATACATGATCTCGGTATACGCTCAAAATTAAAGGGTTTGACCAATATACACTGCTGTACTGCTAAGTGTCTGTAGGACACCTTCTTCAAAATAACATTGAGCCCTTGGTGAAACCAGTGTTAGTTTTCACGTGCTCTGCAATATGGAAATACGCAAACAAATATGTTCCCCCTGAAAAGTGACGAACAGGCTATAAATTCAGGCAATTTAGCAAACCCGGCATTGAAGCTACCACTAGTCTTTAACACTGTAATCGTTTTAAGCACTGCTTTGTTTTCCTTTCACGTCATTTTCCAGCTTGAAAGCAAGATTGTTTTGTCCAACTCTCTCGTCATTGTTGCTTGGTAACCGTTGCGTCCTTCGGAACTTGACCAACAAAACAACCAGAGCTACAACTGCGACCAGTCCAAATACTCCAGCGCCTGCCACACCACCGATGAGAGCTTTATGTTTACTTTGAATTGGCTCTATGAAACAATAGACAAGAACGCATTTCATTCTCCTGCTGAACCAAATCATTCAAGTCTCAATCTCTGAGTCGTGATCGTTTCAGTCAGCGACGAGGGTCAAGGCCTCTTAAAGAATTAAGTTCTGGATCTTGCTTTGCGATTCATTTTCCCTAACAGCCAATCAGATTCGTGAAATGCTTGGTGAATAGGACGGATCCCTCTAGTTTTATCGCGCCGGCCAAAAGAATCGTGGCTTGTATGTTGAGGCTGGAAAAAATCTATGAGACTTTGTTATCATTAAAGAGTCGGGTAAGAGATGCAAATGTATTGCTGAGCACAGGTTAAGGGCTGGGCTCTGACGGTACAGATAAACGACGCATCCTTTTGCAAAGAAGCAGTAACAGGGGTAAAAAAAAGTTTTTCTCATTAAGGAGGGAGGACAGCGGGGTCTCAAAAGAATGCTTGGTTGTGGTTTTAGCGCATGGGTGTTGGACATTGGATATAAATCCTCATCTTTGCTATGAATCGATACATACACTTCAGAAGGTGTCATTCTTCCCTTACAAATAGTAGTAGGATCGTGTGAAAGACGCGGTCACACTAATGCAGCTTTGAGTTTTTAGACCCGATTCATGAAAAGGATCGTAACGTAACAAACAGATAAAAGCATTGTATTAACGAGTTATTTTTGCAAAAACCTACGGTGATCGAGTAGTTCGTCTTCTTTAGCCGCCTCGAATACTATAGGTCCACCTGTAAGAATGACTTTGTTTGTACTTTCTTCTTGGTCTCCATCTCGTGTCACTTCTCTTCTCTTTCTTTTGTTCTTTATACAGCCCTTACTGCACCTGCAAAAGTGTTCGTTGGATTTTGAATTACAAATGATTAGCACGTGGACAAAAATGCAAAAGAATCAGCAATGCATTTCTGAATAGCCACATTTTAAAAGTTTTTATTACTTTTGGATCAGTGAGCCGCCTTAACCTTGCCTGAACTTTGTTTATATTTCCTCTCTATAAGCGTTTCAAGCAATCCTTAATTAAGAAGGTGTTAGTAATCGAGATGGCCTTAAATGGTAATTGCACCGTGATCATGAACGAAAGGTCTAGGTGCTTGCCCATTTAAATCTATCGTGTTGTTTATTGACATGAGCAAGCCACTTTCCTCTAAATTACCTGTCTCGAACCAGGAGTGTAAGCTAATAGTAAAGAAGTGTCAGGGAAAACTTTACAAAGAGCATTGACGCAACCTTCTACGATGGACCAGTGCTCCGCGCTGGAAGGATAGCAATATTTAAGGTACGGGGATGAGTTTGGATTAGCTCCGGCAGAACAGTGCACTTGATTAGCACGCAAAATATATATTAATATCGATACCAAGGATAAAACTTTATCATTCACAGAATTCATCAATCACATCACTCAGGCCAGATTTGATACTTTTTGTGAAAGCATTTCACCGATTTGACAACAACCAAACAAGAAAAAGGAAAGTCGGCTGACACATTTTGCAGCTTTCTAAAATCCAGCAAGGTGATATCAGACCGACTTCCCTTGTTTGCAATGTAACTGAATAATTTGAGACCAACCTAGAATCAGGATAATTACGGTGACAGGCCAGCAGATCACAATGGAAGTACACTGTGTCGTAGTCGTTCCAAAATCTGAACGCTCGGATTTTAAACTGTTGGTAGTGTCGAGTTGGATTATAACTGTAGTCAAGCGTCGAATCTGTAGGGCATCTTTTCGTTGAAATAATAAAAAATCGACAACAATAAGAGAATGAAATGAATGAAATTGTAAATAGTAGAGCCTCGGTATGGACTCTTTTGTAAGATCGGTTCACCAACAAGACCATATAAAAACCAAGGACCAAATAGCGATTAAAAATGAATATGTTGGTCTCCCCCAACGCTTCAAATTGAAGGGTTCCAGCGTTGTTATTCACTAGTTTTATTATATAGGCTGTCTTAGCCACAGCCTTTTATATTATGTTGCGAAAATCGTATCAAGCTTTGAAAGTTTTGAAAGCTTAACTAGCAGCTGGTTCTGCTTGATCACGGTATATTTATATGCTTACCCGTTTTGGAGGAAGGTGTATTGCGGCCACGAATAAAAGCTTGCGTCTTTAGTCGCCTTACAGTTCTCAGCCATGATGACTAAATCAGCTGAGGACGCCACACTGTACTGTAAATACACATATTCATTCAGAACCACTGATAGAGGGTAGTCTTGCTCCGTGAAGGGCGTGGTAAAAGACGAATTCCTATAGAAGTCCATCTTGAAAGTGAACGAACCATATCCCGCTAAATAGTGAAAATTATAAAAAAAAAGATTATGTCAGCTTCTTCCTTATTTTTGTCATTATAACCAGCTGAAAAGGTACCTTATGGAACATTCATAGGATTGCATTAAAACAAGGGAGTATTTAGTTCATACAGGGCATTTCATGACAAAGGTCGAAGGAAATATCTATTTCAGGTAATAACCCCAGTCACTTCCCTAAAAAAAAAAAGTTGTACTTAATCATACAGCGAAATTTTCTTCAGAGGTCCAGATTCCCAAGTGAAGCTGGCATGGCAGAGTGGTTTACACGGTTTAGAGCTTTTTATCTGGACGTCTAAGGTTCGGTCGGAATGCTCTGGTTTGTTCCGAGCCTAACTGCTCCGTTTCACTTTGCAATTACCCAGAGGATTTGAGATTTTCATCAATTATCCTTCTATCTGCGTGGGTCACTCTGAATTGCACAGGGGACATGTGCAGTAGCCTGGTAGTTATCGCTCAAGCCCTGGCTAGGTCATTGCGATTTTTTTTGGGGGCAAAACACGACTCTGACGGTATCCTTCTCCACTCCTAGTATAGATGGGAACAAAACGGACAGTGAACCCTGATAACTTACCGAGGCCGGGTTAGCCTGCGATTCTCTTGATCGCTTCATGCTAAAAAAACCGACTTGAGGTCCCTTTAACGTTAATGACGTCAGTTGTGCGATGTTAATCACATCGACTCCTAAATAAAGATATCAATTAAGTTTAGTTACTTTCATTCCCGTAGTAAATCCTCTGAGGTGTGAAGGCCAGACTCATTAACTTCTCTCTGGAGTATCGGCAGTAAAATGGCAGTTTTATATGATGTGAACGAGTAACCACACCATTGATTATCAGGGCGTCGGCTAGGACCTCATTCCAAAAGATTAGATAATCTTCGGTTTCGTTTCGCTGCGTCCCACAGCTATCTAAAGAGGTGCCGATCAAGAAGTGGGTGGAGTTCTCGGTGGCTTTGCATGAGCCATAGCGTAAGCGTAGCTGATTGACTGTAAAGTAGTTGAATCTTTGCTTTACCAGAGAAACCGTCATACTGTTCTCCCCACACGAAACACTTGCAGTTTGGTCTAAAATATGACAGAAGATTTACAAACTTGAGGATGATTTCAAAATTTTGTTTTAGATGTTTTTCTGCTTCTTATTATCATGTAACTAACAGAAAGGAATATATACCTGAACAGTTAAAAACTCATCACGAACGTCTGACATGTTTTTTTTTTTCATAACCGTACTCAAAATATGCCATCCAAGTTACTCTCCACACAAGACACTTTCGAAATTTGTAATCCTAGGAAATGAAGACCGCCTGGTACATAATCCCAGCACATGATTGTGCTCACTAACGAGCTCACCCCTACTTTAGCTAGTAGAATATCTGACCACCGAATCGGTGGTCCGGTACGCGTTCGGTATTTACAGGGGACTAAGATTCAATGATCTACTCTCGTGATCTCTTAACCCTTTACACTGTAACATCAGTATCATTATTCTCCTTACTGTTCTCTATACATCAATCAAGAGCTTCTTTAGTTGATGATTATTTCCTTTGTTTTATTCTCACGACCTTATGGAGTAATTCTGCGGTGATATTTTAAGGAGAAGTTAGAAGCTAATCACCCTAAGGGGTCAAAGGGTTAAAACAGGACCTAAGAAACTCGGGGTAAAATGATACCTTAAATGTGAAGATTTCTTTTCGCTTTCTCCTTAAGAAAACCTGATGAATTTTGTATATATGTGAAGTCTATGTTTCGGTTTTTCCGTATTACAGTGCTCGATACATAGAGGTAGTACGTATATGAATTAAGTTGGGGAAAAAACAAAGAGACTACGCTTTATCCCGAAAAGCTTGTTTCGTGAATTAAATCCCCTGAAGAGTAATTTAATCACGAAACAGGCTTGTTGGGATAAAGCGTCACCTCCCTAACCCAATTTATATTTAAATATATAAATATGTGGATATATTTTTCTGTACATTTCAGGCCGCATTAGCTATTACTCACCAACACAAGTCTTATTGTCTATCCCCATCGTTAATCCTCTAGGACATCCGCAGTAAAATGTTCCAGGGATGTTAAAGCACTCGTGACTGCAGCCGCCATTATTGATGGTACATTCGTTGATATCTAAAAAAAAGGCTCACTCCACTTTTCAGTTCGACAATACTGCATGGCAACCGATTTAGAATATTGAGAGCCTTTATAACAAAGATTCATGCGGAGGAAAAGGCTGAAGCTTTAGAGGTGTTTGCCATTTTGCTTACAAGGTACAAAAAGGTGACGATATTTTTGGCTGTTTCCATAGAGCGATTGGCTGTTTATGAGAGCAATCAAAATAAGTGTTACATTCTAAAGAACTTGTACGGATGTTCTTATTAATTCGTTGATTTTGTTTATAAAGAGAGCGATATGAATACAGGTACCAGATGATGGTTATTAGTGAACACTAGTCTCATGTTTCTCACCTGTACAAGACTCCCCGTCCGACTGCAGTTGAAATCCCCTTTCGCAAGAACAGCTGTAATTTCCGGGAGTGTTGTCACAGTCCTGATCACAACCTGCAGGTAACGTGAACTCCGGAAAAATATCTGACGGACCTGAAGCGTTCCAATGCACAGAACAGGAAAATTTAAGTGTCATTGTCTGAGAAAGTGTTCCAGGGGCCAAAAGTTGTGGTCAACCGATTTGGCTGAAACTTGGCACAGAAGTTGGTTGCCATGAGATATTTCAAAAGCCAATCTGACTCACTTCTCTGACTTTAAGTTTTAGAGTTTCAGGGGGGGTCTCATTTTTTGCTCTTTGAGCACAAAAAATCCATCCTTTCAGGGGTCATTTTGAAAGTGCCATAAAACCCAACTGGTAAATTGTGCTGCCAAATGAATTTGACTATGAATATTTCTATAATAGAGCTTTCATTTCATGCATGTAACTTTGCCCTCAAGGTATTGGACAGAGAGGAGCCTGGGGCTAGAGTTTGGCCAAAATTAATGTCAAAATTACAACCCAAAATTGCCATTTTTCAAAAAATCAGTGTATCTACCTGCCTTCTTGCATAACATCCGTACCTATACCATTATTTACTTTATTGACCCAATTATCAAAATCACTTGAGAAAAATTTGGCTTATCACGGTTTGTTGAATTTTTGTCACAAACACTCCATGCCTCTATAAGGTCATGCAAAATGGAATTTTGAGCATAATTCATGCCATAAACAAACCAAATTGTTGACATGAAGCCCTGATTCTGTATTTGGTCAGTGAAAATGAATTGTTAAAGCCAAATCAGTTTAATTGTTTAGAAATACTCTGATTCTTACCTTACAATTGCTCTTAAAGGCCTTTGATTAGCACAAAAAATACCCTGATTTAGCAAAACAAGAGTTAATTTGTACTTTGAAAACCTAGTACCCATTAAATACCACAAATGATGAAGGCCTTACCTCGATATAACGACCTTTCTAAACGATGCTTGAATTTTTCATTGATTAATATTCAGTTTCAAGTCATAATTCTTCTCCGTTGCACCAAGTATGGAAAGTCTCTATATTTTGTCAGGCCTGATTTTTATTATGATTACAAGATAAAGTTAGCTTAACGAAAGCATTCGTTAGCATATAATCTAAGTCTGTTAATAGCCTGAACATTTCTTGTAAATACCCACCAGTAAAGGAGCATGACCATGCATACATAGATATATACGTAGAGATATGCGAGCTGCAGTTTATAGCAGTGTCGATGTGACCCGTTATTTCAGATTCCTCTAGAGCGGAGTAAATGAAACCATCCGTCAAGAAGGAACGCACAGTTAGGAGAGCTGGATAGTGAAACAAAAAACTTGTGTTGCTAAATACAATAACCAAACGAGGCCAGGGCATTGAGATGATGCAAAATCAACTGGCCCGCCATTTTGGACATAGGAGAGAGTGGGACTGGACCGAGGTCACGTTCTTCTTCCGTTTCGCGGGTATGTTTTATCAGGTGTAAGAAATTCAAGGGTAATTTCACGATGGCACTTTGTTCCTTTGGAGGGGTAAGTGATCAGTGCGGTGCCACCGCATGGGCTCCGCACGAAACAGGAATGGTTCCTTTATTATCCTGCGAGAATGATATGACTGAATGGTTGAAGCAAAAGTACAAGGGGTCAGGTGCGTCCGGGACAAGAGGAAGACCTGGTCATACCAAACGTACAGGTGATTCAAAATATCTGTTAGGGATCATACACGCGCACAAATGGCTTTTATCGCGATCCAGTGGACTCTTTTCTATTGAAGAGAGACCACGATATTTTACGATATTGTCGTCTCAAATTGTTTTCTTATGACTGATTGAAGATTTCCCGAGGTAATTTACTTGATTCTTGCAAAGAGAAACAAACATTCAACAAATTGTTCACAGGAAGGGCAAAGGGGTTGACTAAAATTCTAACTTTGAAAGGTAAGAGCGCAGTTATTTTATTGCAGCAATCTCTATAACCAAAAACAACATAAGAATAACTTGAAGTTGAAGGCTGTTTTTCTTCTGCTCGCTCTGTTTGTTTACATTCAGCGTTACCTGTGCAGACGCTTATCACGCAATCACAATTCGAGCGTGAAACTCTACCGGTTTCCTATATTTGCCAGTTTCGTCTAAGATAAGTGAACTTGAAAAATCTTTGCAAACATGCTGCATCGAAGCTTTTCGATGAAATTGACATTTTGAGCGAGAAAATGTCTTGTTTCACGGATAACTTTCTTGGTAACAAAAATTATTCGGATACGTTTTTTAATTACTTATAATTAGTTATTTTAGTATGTAAATAGAGGCGGTATAATTTTAGGAATCTTATACCCAGTTTAAAACCTATCTCAGATTTATCGTTGTATTCTGAATCTCGACTAATTGATTAAACGTTTTTTTCTACAAAAATAGATGAATCACGATAAAAAGAAACTACATGTGATTTTGAGACGGTATTACGACTTGATAATGACACCATGGTATACTTAGAGAATGTTTTCCCGTATATGGACTCTCTGCTTCGCAACGTTAAGAAGTCCTTATATTGTCTCAAAATCTGCCGAATTAGTTTGTGTTATGGGATTTGCTTGGAAGATCTAAACTAATTAAACTGCGTGCTAATGCATAGGCAATGAGTTCACGTGTGTTCTTCAATGGGAACTGATCCTGAATCGTTCCGGAAGAGCAATTGACCAGGTAGATGTTGGAAGGATGACCGTGTGCCCAAAACATCGGTTTCAACTTATTACGCTTTATAAAGCAAAGGTAATGAATAGAGATTTTTAAAGGATTGATCGATGCGTGAGTCTTATCTGGCATTATAACATACCACAGGACACCCACCTTTTTAGGCAGGCCCTTTGAGGGTTCAGTTCATAGAAATACAGCTAAAAATCCCAGGTTACAACCCTGTCATTTCCGAGCAGAGCTGATTGTTCTTTATCGCGCAAATTAAGTTTGGTTGTTGTTGGTTTTTTTTAGTTGCAGGCTCGTAATGAAACATCTCCTCCCTAGTGATGCTAATGCATTACTCACCTAACACTTTCTTCACTCAAGCTTTTCCCAAGATAGTAGATTTCTAGCTCTCTACCTGTGTGTGTATGTGGGAGGGGGTAGTGGGTGGAGGGGGACACATGCTAGTGAAATCGTTACACCCCTCAATCCTAAATTACATTTGTTAGACACGGTATGTTGTTAACTTGCGAATTGTGCTGTAGGATAAATGTTGTCATCCATGCCATGAAGAAAAAGCACCATCGCGTGTAAAAAAAGTGTCTAAAGCATTCACCCGCAAGAGGCGTGTGAGCAAATTCATGGCGGAGAGAATCTACAGGAACACTGGCGTTGTCGTTGCTATAGGCTCTGGTAAATATATACTGTATCTATGTTTTCTTATTTCTGTCCATGATACCCAGGGGTGGCACTGTTCTTCCAAGAAAATTCTTTTACTTTCCCCCTTTTTTTTTAAAGAAAAAAACTGTAACTGGTAAGGAAGATCATTCTAATGACATATTAACTAACTTTTATTGCCATGATGCTCCAGCCACCCCAGCTATTGAGAGACATGAAGAGCAAGTGACGAAACTAGCTGCATTCGCTTCAACACCAAAGTCTTTACCTAGGCAATTACGTCCACCACGCATTTCGACACACTATCGTTTATCCGTTGGATCAGCTTTTTCTGTCCCTAGCAGCTCTTCGCAGGAAGAACAAGTAAGCATGTACTTACCAGAGGGCGAACGGGAGAGAAGAAACCTTGAGACACTAAACAATGCGATGGCTGTCATAACTGATGGTAACTTCACCTCATTACCCCACTATGTTGACTGCAAGTGGGAAGCACTGTCTGGGGCGTCGAAGGAAGAATTCATAATAAGAGCCGACGAAGTGGTTTCTTACGTACTAAACACCATTGCTCCTTCACAGCAGGAGCAACTTTGGGAAGGAATGGTCAAACGTCGCCGTTCTGTTGAGGACAAAATTAACAACATCGCAATCGATGTGGGACTCGAAGCAATTTTGCTGGCTTACAATGAATGACTTTCATATATTCTTAACCATTTACAATGAATGTTCAAATCGGTTAACAAAAACTCAGATATTATCACTCATAAGTGACAGGTTCTCTCAGTCGGAACTCCAACAGCTTCTCCCAGGAATCTCATTACGCCAAGTAAAGAATGCTAGAAAGCACGCGTTAGAACAAGGACGCGGAGAACCAAAGACAAGGAACGAGATTTTCCGATGCAGGTTGAACATGGAGAAAGTTAGGGATTTTATTGAGTTCTTTTCGAGATCCACATTCCTCCGAGATGTAGTCTTTGGAACAAAAACATTGAAACTTTCTTCAGGTGAGAGAATCCCCATCCCTTCAGTGGTTCGTACAATGACTGCGTCGAAAATCATCTACCTTTACCATGAAGAGTGTCGTGAACATGATGTGGAGCCGCTCAAGGAGCGTACCTGTTTCCGTCTGCTAGAGGTTTGTAGTGCATCAAAGCAAAAGTCCTTGTAAGGGTTGGACAACACGTCTACGACTGGTGAAGAAGCATTCGAGACGATAGCCTCACTCGTTGAGAATCTAGGTCAACACGGTGCGGGTGCAACATGGACCCGAGACACACTTCGATCTTTAAGCACTGGAAAGAATTATCTCAAAAGCGTATACAAGAGTCATCTAGGACCGGAAGAGGCTTGTGCTGATCACTGTACTGTGTTTGCACTATCGGATCCATTCGAAGAGAGATTTTCAGGTGAATGTTGCCACGATCACAACCAGGCGTGTCCCGAATGCAAGGGTATTGTTGATGTTCTGGAAGCTATCGAAGATACTCTCAGAAATGGAGATCTGGACTTGAGTGAGAAGCAAAAGGAGAGAGCAAGGTGGGACTTAGATCACGCCGTTTCCAGCATCGATGCTTGGAAAGCTCATTTATTGAGGACTTTTCAACAAGATCAAGAGAGACAAGACCCACTCAATAGGTTAGATGACCAGACCATCATGGTCATTAATGACTGGGCCATGAAATTACTTCCCATGCGTTTCAGAGAAACGCAGTCCCAATGGTTCGCCAAGCAAGGAATTAGTTGGCACTTTTCTGCTGTTGTTCACAAATCAAACCATCCTGACTGTCCAGTAGTATCCTCAAGTGAACACACAATCCACACATATGTGGTTGCCATTGACAGCTGCAAACAGGACTGGTTTTCCGTTTCTTGTATACTTGAAGAGGTCCTTGTCTGTGTCAAAGAATCGCATCAATCAGTATGCAGAGCGATCCTAAGAAGTGATAATGCTGGATGCTACCACTGTAGTGCGCTTTTGTCAACCATCAATTCCACTAGCAGAAGGTCAGGCATCGAAGTAATCCGCTATGATTTCTCTGACCCTCAGTCGGGTAAGGACTTATGTGACAGAAAGATCGCCCCTTGCAAACAGCGCCTTCGACATTATGTTGCTGAAAATCACAACGTGGAAAGTGCGAAAGACATAAAGAAAGGCTTGGAGTCCCCACCAGGAATTGCAGGAACGAGCATTGCGGAATGCAAGATTGACCAATCAGCGATGTCAACAGGCGCTGCTAATAACAGGATTCCGGGAATAACGAAATACAATAATTTCTCTCTGACTTCTAAAAGCATGCGCGTCTGGCAAGCTTACAATGTTGGAGAGCGCGTGGATATAAAGGGGTCTTGGCATGAACAAGATGTTTCTGGGCTCGAAAGTATTGGGGAGTGGACGAAAAAGATACCGCGTGTTACACAAAAGAAATACCAGGCAAAGGGAAAACACGATGTTACTGAGTCTGTCAATACTTTTAGCTGCCTTGAACCTGCTTGTATTGCCACCTTCAAGACAATCGAAGAGGCGGATGAGCACATGGACACAGGTCATCATATTATGACTCCAGAGAAGGAGTCCATATACGACAACGTACGTAGGCAGTGGGCAGCTGTAACGACATCAGTAAAAGGTGCGGGCCAGAAAACTGGCAGGACAGATTATGTTCCTGTGGCGAACTTAAGACTGAGCAAAGGATGGGCCTTAAAGAAGACGAAAGCGGCGGTGAGAATATCTTCGGGTGTCAAAGAATTTTTAACAAATTTATTTAACAAGGGAGCTAAGGATCTTCACCAAAAAGCTATGCCAGCAGACGTGGTGGAGCAAATAAAGGAAACTTTCCCAGTTTCAGAGTGGGTTGAAGTACAGATTGTCAAAGGATACTTTTCTCGTTTGGCTTCGTAGCAGAAGGGACTTCCAGTTAGCGAAGAGGAGGTTGAAGACGAAGCGCTGGAGAAAGAGGATTACATGGAGCAACTAGTCGGGGTGGCTGAACAAGAGATTGGCCTCAAGCACCCTCTTGTATATGATGATTTCAATTTTTGTGATCTCTCTGCCGGGGGTAGATTAGCCAAGGTTCTGGAAAAGCAAAAACTCAGTCAGCTTCAGTCATTCTGCGAGTATTTTGACGTGGAAATTTCTGGTCGTGCTAATCGTAAAGCATCGTATTACGAACCTCTTATACAATTAGCAAATTCCTGTGATTGTCGCAAGTAAACAATTTTTTTAGATTCTTCGACTTAAAACCCGCCTTACTTAAAAATCAATGAGTCAGTTAAGGTTGCGCGACTCGTCGACTTGGTCCATTCATCGCACTCTCGCGTCCAAGATGATACAATAACAATCACATCGCGAGGCTTTTCATGACTTTGTATGGGGGTGCTTCATATCAACATCAACACGAAAAAAGTTTATCATCCCGCTCTCCTAACTGTGGATCCCTTCTGTGGTTTCACTTACTGAGCGCTAAAGTATTTGGGAAATCTGATAGATCGTGGGTCACCTACATGCTGATCATTGCGGCTCGTATATATGTACACTGTATCTACGTTTGGTCACGATTCATTACTGTTGCAAAAGCTATTTAGGCTATAAAAAACGTCAGACAAAGATTATCGGTTAACGATCGTTTTGTAAGCTTACTTTATCTTTTAAAATATGGCTTGGAAAATTATGGGGACTTTCCATGCTTGCGGCAATACATGGAAATATGACCTGAAAAATATAAGTCAGAGAAAAACTCAAGTATTTTTATATGAAGGTAAGAACATTGTCCTTTGTGCTCTATGACTGGTACAGTCAACACTCTCGTAAGCGACCACCCTTGATGCAGGACAAAGTGGTCGCTTATGCTGAGAGGTGGTCATCTACGGGAAAAAAATAAGAAATTAAGCTCAAACCGAAGTGATTTGAACGTGATTACATAAAATTATTACCTAACAAGCAAAAACTCAGGCAAACAGACAACTGCCAACAATGTCTCAAACCGAATGGCGCTTAGAACTGTTGAAAATTTGTACATAACATCTTTCATCAATGATTCAATCCAATTTTACCTATGGATCGTATTACAGCCTTTTTTGCTAGTCAACTGTTATAATCTGCGAGCACACTTGGTCAGCGCTTTTTGAAACTGAACTTTTGTGATATTTGAGCAATAGTTTTCTTACAGTCGTACGTGATAATGCCGGGTGATCGCTTACAAAAAGCCAGTTCGCTGTGACAAAGTTGGCTGTACTAGGTTTTCAAAGAAAAAAGTCACCCTTTTTTTGCCCAATGAAAGGCCTTTTAAGAGCAATTGTACGGTAAGAGTCGGGGTAATTCTGAACAATCAAACTGGTTTGGCTTTAACAATTCATTTTCACTTACCAAATACAGAATCAGGGCTTCATGTCAACAGTTTGGTTTGTTAATGGCATTAACTATGCTCAAAGTTCCATTTTGCAGGGCCTTAGAGGGGCATGGAGTGTTTGTGGCAAAAATTCAACAAACCGTGATAAGCCAAATTTTTCTCAAGCGATTTTGATAATTGGGTCAATAAAGTAAATAATGGTATAGGTACGGATGTTATGCAAGAAGGCAGGTAGATACACTGATTTTTTGAAAAATGGCAATTTTGGGTTGTAATTTTGACATTAATTTTGGCCAAACTCTAGCCCCAGGCTCCTCTCTGTCCAATACCTTGAGGGCAAAGTTACATGCATGAAATGAAAGCTCTATTATAGAAATATTCATAGTCAAATTCATTTGGCAGCACAATTTACCAGTTGGGTTTTATGGCACTTTCAAAATGACCCCTGAAAGGCTGGATTTTTTGTACTCAAGGGGCAAAAAATGAGACCCCCCCTGAAACTCTAAAATTTAAAGTCAGAGAAGTGAGCCAGATTGGCTTTTGAAATATCTCATGGCAACCAACTTCTGTGCCAAGTTTCAGCCAAATCGGTTGACCACAAGTTTTGGCCCCTGGAACACTTTCTCAGACAATGACACTTAAGCAGATCGGTGATCGAAAACAAATTGCGACAAAATGGTTGAACAATTTTTCCAGCCTTTTTCGACAGTGTCTGTCGTTATCGCTGTTATGGTAACCTGAAGATACAGTCACTCACCTCTGGAACCTGAGTAGGCACATTCATCTACATCTTAAAGGCGAAAAAAAGGAAAACATTACATAATGCCGTGCAAACGGAGAGGACGGGTGTATAGGTGTTGTGACTAATTACACGACGGGAGAATGGTGAGTGAACGCATGAATGACTACATGACCAGGGTGCATGAGAAAAGGGACGGACCCACAGATTTAGGACAGATGAACGGGAAGAAGGACAATTGGTTGGGAATTACTTTGGGGAAATGTATGCTCAGAATCCTTCAAAAGCTAGTTTTACGGTCGTGTTAAAGTGTCGCGCGACTAACACAACCACATGATAGAAACAAAGCAAATCCTCAAAACTCCTTCATGATGAAGATTTTTCTAATCAACTTTTGAGTGTACCTAGTTCCTCTAAGGCTTTCTTTTCAGGAATTAAGAAAATCTACAATTTTTCTCACCAACACAGCTTAAGAAGTTAGGTGAACGTAGAGAATACCCAGAAGGACAGACGCCATTTACGTAGAATCTCCAGGCACTAGAGGATGATATTCCGGGTGTGGGTGTACCGCCATAGGAACAGCCTTGTCCAACCACTACTCCTTTATCCATTAAGATTGCATATGATCCCTCCATGCTCAACACAGGATAGGGTATTGCAAAATACAGCGTAGTTGAATTACTACCAATTGTCACGTTTTGAGAGAGTGCGTCCACTCTGTAGACTGTTTGTTCACTGGGCAGCAGGACGAGTCTTATGTTAGACGATGTTCGAGGTTTCTTTATCTACAGGAAATGAAAAGCTTTCTCATCGTATAACAGAATTATTATCAAACACAATAGAGGAGTGCATCGACGTATTTTTCGCTGTGTCGTTTATTTGGACATGATCAATTTTGATCAACTCGAATTGAATAGTATTGGAATTTCTGTAAAATGTCACACCGTCGTTTCAAGGACTCTGCAAGGAAATTTCATATTTTTTGAAGAGAGAAAAACTGGAAAATCTTACAAAAAGCCACAGAGTAAAGATGAAAACCAACAGCTAAATTCACCCAGAAATGATACCAGTTTACGCTAAGAACCGGGAACACAGCCCTTGGAGGTGTGCGATCTTACATATGCACCATCACAGCTTGCCTTGTCTGAGGAGCTGTACATATTAACAGAATCCATCCTCTCATGTGTGTGTCTAATTATTTCATGTAATAGATAATGTCGAAATTTAATGTGACAACATAAGATCTATGGAGTACCAGCAAAGGGAAACTATAACTTGTCGGTGGTACCCAAAAGTGAAGATGAATCAGACGAAAACTTTAGTCGCTTTTCCTCTATATTTGAGTGTAATCGACACCCATCTTGATTCACAAAATACACCTGACAGATATATCCAATTTTCTATGAGAGAAAACAAATACGATTTCCACGGCTTTTAATTTTCACAGGAAACCAACCACCTTGCCCCGCGGGATACCCAAAATAATAATAAAATTATTTGTCATAATTGAAATCTATTTATTTTACGAAAACTGACGCGGAAAAGACACAACAAGATCTCTTTGTCTAAATATCTCAAAAAGACAAAGTAGAGCCAGTGATAACGTGTACAGTTTTTCGCCTCGCTAATTAATCATACGTAAAAACAAATTTATGAAAAAGCAGGCTAATATTGTGGGTTATGAACTTGCACAACAAATAATGCGAAATATTCTCAAAAGATGCATGAAAATATGGCCAAATGTGACCAAACTTAATCAGTTGAAAGTGACAAATGAACAACCGCTTAAAGTTTTTATTAGAAAAAGAGCCTGATCTCAAATGCTTTTGATAACTGTGTCTCGATACTCTTAGTACGAAGTTTAAAAATTTGTTGTCCTTACCAATCGGTCAAACTGAACGCTCCAGTTAGAATAACCTGATCCATATCTGCTCACGGGTGTTATGGGTGTGCGACTTGCTAAAAGGACTCGCGGGGTACTACCTGAAAAATGGTTGTCGATCATCAGTTGTTGAACCTCTATTTGCGCATAGAAATACCAATGACACAGTCCTTCATGCTATAGTTCCTTCTCACTTTTGTACGATACTGCTACTCTGCCTAAAAGCCGACTCCTATGGGAAAGCGGCTCAAAATTTCATTTGTTTTCTTTCCATTGAGATACTAAACTTTTTCATTGAGATACTAAACCTCCTCGGGTAGGGCGTCATTGGTGCAACAACAATCCAAATGTCAATTACATTGGTAGATACCTCGAAAATGAAACCTTTTCAACCATTCAAATATTACTCTAATCCCAGATGGCTATTGAAAGGAAATTTAATTACAAGTCTGTTTTAAAGATGTACTTTCGACTTTTACTTTTTCTTTTCGATGAAAGTCAACGGGCAACCGAAGTCTCCTACCTCAGTAGAAGATTTCTAACTGGTGTACTTATTTTAACTGCAAATCAACATGAATTATCAATCAAGTCTGACTATCGTTTCGGTCCTCGAAAAGGAAAAGTGTTTAATTTTCTTACTCGTGCCAACTAGAATTGTCACACATCGCCATTCACTTTCCAGTCTGTAAAAAAATTCATCACATAAGGATAGCAAATATGAAAATAACACAGATAAATAAATAGATAAACATAAACGATTGAGTTGTTACGGGGGGATTTTAGACAGAGAAGAAATTCTACGTTTCAATAGCAAAGCCATACACCAACCTATACCTGCCCTTCGTCACACCCACACACACACCCACACACAATGAGTTTTCGATTTCACTGATTGATAGTAAACACTATTTATAATGACTTATGGTCATGCAAGTCGTTAATCAAAATGATTTTAAAAACTGTCCACACAAACTTTATGATAACATCTATAAGATACTTCATAAAACGAAAATTCTTCTGTTTCCCCCCATAAAATACTGAATTTAACGATTAATAATAGGCGAATTATTTATCTGGTAATAATGTACCTACCACCTTCACTTCTTTCCCAGCAGAGTAGAAAAACGCGAATGATCTACCAATTTGAAAAGGGGAATTTTTCAGTTTTCCAACGATTCGAGATTAACGCTTGAAAGCTGTAAACCGCCTAAATTAATATATTTGGGGTTAAGACCATACCACCTGTAATTCTTACCCAGCAGAGTCTCTTGCCACAAAGCAGAACAACTGTTGTCCAATTTGATGTTGACTAGGGTACCACGTAAAATTTCGGTAGTAGATTTGTCCATGATTGCGTAAAGATGTGATTTGCATTCCACTTGGAGATGCAGTGCTTATTTCCACAATGCTGAAAGAATTGAATAGAATAACTTTAAATTTATCATAAATGATAATGACTTCAAATGCCGAGAAATTTTCAGGTTCCATACTAGAAATCATAATTTCTTGCGCTACCAATTTCACTTGAGTAGATGAAGGTTTGCGGAAAACCGTGGAAGCGTTAATTGATTCTTGTTTTCCGTTCAATGGAAATTCTTTATCATTCTAACGACCTGAATGGGATAGTATACTAAGAATTTGTATGGCAGCTTATATCAACATACTTGAAAGTTGGTTATTATTCACGGGAGATTGTTATCTATATGTTAATGAGGATCTTAAAAGATAGGTATTTGTGTCTTTTAAGTGGAAAAAATTAAAGGTAGAAAATAATCAAGGGCAATTTGTTTAGTTTACATACGATTTTGAGAAGTCTGCAACCTGTACTTCGATCACTGCTCTATATGCAGAGCCAATCGGCACATCGGAACATTCACCATCTTTTGGGGTGGATGCTGTAATGACAGGCTTTTCGTCACAATGACCAGTATGGTTACCAATCACCGTGACAAGAAACTGTAATGGTATATCGCTTAACGACGTGACGTTACTGAAGTTTGTATTTCCCGCTGGAAAGTCTTCTAAAGTTAATGCTACTACAAAAATTCCACCAACTGCTGCTTGCGACCCATTGTATGTTAGAACACAAGATTTCTGCGAGGAAAATGGAAAGTAACTGATACTTTCCTTTTGAGTTCGCTGAATGATGCATCTATTCCTATTCGTAAGGAGACGTATTACCGGAGCCTGGCACGCACTTCAGCTCCTGACATACTTTATTCACTTTGTTCAAGGACTGTGTCGACAAGCAATTATAGAATATAAAAATACATTGCTATGTTTATCTATCACCAGCAAAAGTACATGACATCAAACATGATAAAAAAATCAGGATTATGTTTAACCCTTTAACTCCCAGATCAACTGATTTGTAATTCTCCCTACTGTCAACCACACAATTCTTATAATGTTAGTTCAGAGAATTTAGTATTGGATCAACCAATTATCCCCAAATTGATATTTTTCTTTTTTCTCATCACTGATGTGGTTGATATTGTATTGATATTGTAAGAAGAAATTCTGTCTTAGTCACTCATGGGAATTAAAGGGTTAATTTGTTCTGCAGTGGCTTCCTTGAGAAACTCAACGCTTCTTTTCTGGAAAATTCGCACCATGTATTTTATTTTTCCGAACGTCTAGACTTCAAACCAAAATTTTTAGGCGATGTACTTCATCCTAAGACTATTTTAGACTAGTGATGACTCCTGCTTTCAATTACCTCATCCAATTCACCGTAAGGAAAACTTGTATTGACTTTGAGGGACTCCGAATAAGTCGCAAAGCGACATTTCACTGTATCGCCATCTGGGTCTTCAACTGGGATTCGAAACGACTGACGACAACCTCCTGGAAATCGAACAATGGCTGGACTTCGTGTTACAGGAGATGAGTTAATTTTTCCGTTATCCGATCGTGGAGCGAGGTTTATTGCAGTTTCTACTTTCCAACTATAGGAACCAGGGTAATTACTCAGAGAAATCCAATAGCAACCTGAAAAACTTGTAGAAAAAGAAAAAACAGAAAAGTTGTAGTGAACTTCCTCCAGGTTTTTTTCTTTTTCTTTTGTTCACCCAACCTCAAATGTGAGCCCTAAAGTTGTCGTTATTTTTGCTGCAATCATCTACAATCATTTTGAAACTGGTGTCCAACATTGATAAGTTCGAAAACACGCCAAAAAAATAACAAAGAAAACTACACCAGAAAGCAAAACAGAAAAGCATAAAAAAAAGGAATAAGAAAAAGGAGTGCGTATTTGAGTATGCGCCTGATTCAACGAGATAGTCATGGTTACTGATGAAAACTTTCATTTCATTTCACTGCAACATCTGAAATACCCTTTTCTCGTATTTTGTCCAATAATAGTTTGTACACTGTTATGACATTTTAACGGGGCCGGTAGTCGAAAAGTTTGGTACAGCGATACCATTCCTCCCATGACGTAAAAAAAGTATAACAGCTTAATTGCTCCCTGTTAGTAAAAGATTCTCTTTTTTATATCGAGAACGTGATCCGACCCCCTGGGATGTCTCTAGATCGAGTCCTCATAGCATATGCTTCTCTTTCATGCATATCAGACGGTGAGTGAGCACAGTGTAAAGATGTAAGAAAACATACCTCACGTGCCATTGCTTTTCGCTGTTATTGAAAGTGTAAGTGAAGTTATTTTCGCCCACTGTCCAATCCTCAAGGAGACTGTAATCAGTGCAGTAGAAATAAGTGTTTGAAATGGCAAGCGAAGACAAACACTGTGAATTATACGAATTGTCGCATCTTGCTCTCCACGAGCCTCCGAAAGTAATAAGTTGACCGCTGCTAATCATGTTTTGGTCACATCTAGAACCGCTTGATCGTCTCCAACCGATACGAAATGAAAAGTGTACCTGAGAACAACAGGTTGATTACATTAAGTTTGTCTGCTGATACACAGGGTAGACTAGCAATAAAGCCACCTCGCATTTGTGGGAGAAAATACATTGATTGGTTGAAAATGTGGCGCAGTGTTTTAACACAACAGACGATGTCGCGCAATTATGCATAATTTGCGCGACAGTTTTTGGCATTCACGTTTTGGATAAATTGGACAATGATTGAATTGCTTAATTTGGAGGTCATTCATGTTCAGTTCTTTATGATGGTATGGCTTGACATTCATGGATGACTCGAATCGAATTAAAGAAATCTTAAATTCAAGATTACTTCTTTATGTTGGAATTATAATCATCGGAAATCATTTATTAGCAGTTCTTGGAGCGTTCGAATAGGTGCAAGCGTTGAAACACAGCCCATGGATGACTTTCAATACAGGCGCCTCAAGCTCAAGGCAAGAGAGTATTTGGAATAAAACCTTAGTTCTATCGCAAACGAAGTTGCCATTCATTTTGTCCAATTCGACTAATTTCAGGGAGAAAATCGACATTTTTAACTGAAATTCCACTTCTGGTGAAAACAATAGCAAGAAGTCGTGACGTAAGCGGTTGAACACATATTCAACAGTAGAACTGATTGGTAGGGCGGCTCGTACGGACAACGTTTTTTCAGAAGAATGTGACTCGAATGCCTGGGCCACATCCTTAAAATATGAGCCGCGTAGGGTTCACCGAAACCATCCGTACGAAGACAGCACAGAACCGGTTGTCATCGGTGCTGATCATCTCGGAAACTCAGACTGGCATTTAATTTACTGTGTGATTTATTAGTATTTGGCATGAAAATCCAATAAGCCAAGGGTACAATCGGCGGCAATGAGGCACAGATAATCACACCGGAAACGAGTAAAATAAAAATAAAATATTTAAAAAAAAAAAAAAAACGTTGTCCTACTGACTTTTTAATGTAGTTCTACTGCTGTGAAAACCACGACCAAATTCTTCAACTGCTGTTTCTTTGCAGGGTTTCTTAAAGGAAGTAGCAGGTGGGGCTGGCATGGTTCTTCTAGAACATAAGGGTTAATTGTAGGATCGTGTATAGATCGTGTATAGGATCGTGTATAGAATTTTTTACATCGAATTAACAAAATTCCAGTTCAAATTAAATACCGACGTCAACGAATTCTCTTTCTTTAGTACGTGTTTCAAACTCATGCAAAGGTTCAGACAGGCCAGTGTCTTTATCATGTTTAATGGGCTCAGCGCTGGCTCCCGAACAACTGGCTTCCCATAATCTTTCAATAGATGAGAAAGATGTCCGTGTAAATCAATTTTGTACTTATTCTGTTGACCTCTAACTTTGAAGAGCTAAACTTTTCCTCGGTCGTTTCTCAGTTCGGTCGGCCACTTCCGAATCCTCGCTGTCTGCCGACTGTATTGGTCCCTTTTTTCCTAATTTGCTTCTGGTAGGGAATCGTCAGTATAGCACCAGGAAGAAGCTTTCTTTTCTTTTGAAGACCCATTTCAACCATAGAGCCTTTCTTATTACAATCGGGAGAAAAATGACTGCTACAAACAACAGAATATTTGAACGGCTCGACGAAATCGGCTCTTTTTGCTTGAACAAATTTAACCCATTGTCGCTTCAGATTTGCTTCCTTTGGAAATCTTTGCATTGTATGCCCGGTTTTGTTTGAATTAGTGCAAACAGGACAACACAACGCTTTACCATTATGAAAAAATTGAATATATTCAAGCAAACTGTAAGTACAAATATCGTGACGAGACCGGCAAACAACGGCTGTGGAGAAGGCCTATACGTATTATACGCGAATGTAAAACGAAACTTTGGACGTTCTACCCGAAACGTCACAGAAAAGATGGCGCCTTTCAAGATGGCAAATGCGTCGAATTTGGACGAGCTTTTACAAAGTAAAAATGGACTTTTGAGTAAAAACGAATGGTACCTTTGGTAGACTTGATATATTTACTAAACAGCTATGTGAGAAGAAAATATACGTTTACATGTATATTTTTGCAATCCGTGAATATTTTCGCCATCCTTCACCATCCTTGCTCGTTTTGGGTTTATCCTGATCTCTTTGATGTTTTTCTATCCTGGTATAAGACTTTTTCAGTGTTACCTTGTGTTTAAAAGGCCAAACCTTTTGAAGTTGAAAATTTAACAAAACATGTGAACGTTGGTCCTTCCAAAATAACATTCGGAAGAGGAGGGGGAGGATGACGGTTATGCGAATCAGCCGATGTACGCTATTTTCTCTCGCTTTATAGGTCGATCGGATGTTATTATCATCCAAAGCCACATGTGCGTTAACTTCCCGTGCATGTGAGAGGGTAGAGGCGTTCGAGAAAATAGCACCATTACATTTAAAATTGAAGTCCTGGACCGTTAACAGGTGGAAGTCAAATGTCAAAAACTGAAAAAAATTCGTCAAAAGACCACGAACATACCATCCAAAGGCAGAGAGAATCCAGATATTGGGCCAAATCGAGCCATTCGCTCAAAAATTTCAAAATTTGTAATTCATAGGATTTTGAAGGCCAAATTTGCCGACTCATCAACCTCCCTCTATTTGTAGAAATTGGCATTAGTGAACACCTTCATTGGTAAGTAAATATGTATACATGTACCATCTTGTATATGCTGAATTCCACTCAACTTAAATTTAGTACTTGAAACACTAAATCACTTTCTGCCCTGGAGTAGTTTGAAACTGTTTTGAAAGAATCACTAAGCACTATACCGTGTTGTTGTTAGAATCGTCTGGAGCCCACATTATACTGCCGAGTCGAAAGTGCGATGCTTCTGTCAATGTGCCAAGAGCCAGAAAAGCAAAGATCCATCCCACGGGAAGCCACCTCACCATTTTGTTGCTCGCAGGTTTCGACTTAAAACGGAAAATCGAAATGCACGGTGCGCTGAGTGCTCGCCTTGCAAGGCTTAGACCTAGAGCCGTGCTCATTTGAGAAATGACTATTTCTAATATCTCCCCAGCACAAATGAATAGCGTTAATGGTCGACCAATTATCTGTCGACTTTTTAGACAACGATTCATGACCTAATGGTTTTAATAGAAGTACAATTGAAATTTGCTCGCCCGTATCGTTTAGGAAAGGTTTTGTCTCTATAGAATAGCTTCAGATCATACCGAAGATGACTGTGTAGTGAGGTCAATAGGCTCTTTGTAGGACTTGATCACGTTCTTGGATACCACATAGAAAACGCACTGCTGGTGAGCAAGCAAACCGGCGTCACGCTCCTTGTGGTGATAAACTCAAGCAGAGTAAACCACCGTGACCCAAGCTCCAGCTGTGAGATCATCATCTTGCAAGATAAGAGCCATGGCGAAATCATGAGAGTTTGTATGGGAATATTTACGACCTCTCTCAGTAATAAAAAATACAGTCAAATTCCCAATAAAAATACCAAGCTCCAGCTGTGAGATGATCATCTTGCGAAATATGAGTCATGGCGAAATTATAGAAGTTTGTATGGGAATATTTACGACTGCTCTTAGGAATAAAAAAATAAGTCAAATTCTCAATAGAAATACATCATCTTCTATAGTGCATCACATCTTATCTGATCGCTTACTATGTTGAAAAGAACTCATTTTAGCGAGCTATCCATTTCTAGGCTCACTACTTACTATGGCGGCCGTCGCCACCAAAAATACAAGGATGTCAAATAGACCAGCGAATACAAAGCTGGGCTCAAGATCAGCTGCAGGATAGAATAGCTAATAAAGGAATGGCATGGCCAAATTATAGACGGTTTAGTTTTCCTTCGTGAAACAGAACGCCCTAAACAAGGATAGTTTAGCCAAATGATAAACGGTCTAGTTGCCCATGTCGAGTTGGAACATGAAATTGTGAAATGGACTAGCTCAATTGCGAATAGCTTAGCACTCATTTGCAATACAGTACACAAACGGTGTTGCGTTGCGTCAAATGGCTCAGGGTAACGTCGAGTAGCACAAATGGTGTAGCGTTGCGTCAGATGGCTCACAATGGAAGTACACACTGTCATAGTCGTTCCAAAATCGGAGAGTTTTGATTGTAAACTGTTGGTATTGTAGGCCGGGTTGGATCATAACTGTAGTCAAGCGTTGAATCCTTGGGGCATCCTATAGTTAAAAACGATGATAAAAACAAGATCGAATGAATTAAATAGATATCCGTGTAAATATGAAAGCATCAATTTAAACGAATTTAGAAGGAAAGATTGCCCTATCATTGAGACTGTTGTGATTGTTAAGGCATTCCCAATAACTGGTGATATAAAATAGACGGTCCTTATCACAGCTTTAATATGTTGTTCCAACAATGTAATCAAGCAAAATGATTCAAATTACAGGGGGCAAATAGTTGATCGAGCCTGCACAACAAGCCGTCAGTTTTACTCCGTTTTTCGCGCAAGCGAAGGAAGGTAGCGCGCGACGAACTCCCCCATGATTTCACGCCTCCCACCAATTTCTCGCCCATCGCGCTCGCCCCTCGCTCATCTCCGCTCGCCTGAAAATCACGAAAAAGACAAGGCGTTTTCTGCGGTCTTAGCTTAGCTAAATTTATCAGATCAGCTACTATCTATGCTTGATAACGGCACAATGATATACTAACTCGTTTTGAAGAAAGGTGTATTGTGGCCAAGAATAAAAGCTTGCGTCTTTTGTTGCCTTACAGTTCTCATCCATGATGATCAGGTCAGCTGAGGACGCCACACTGTATCGTAAATAAACATATTCATTGAGATCCACTGTTAGGGGGTAGTCCTGCGCTGTGTAAGGCGTGGTAAAGGAAGAACTCTCATAAAAGTCCATCTTCAAAGTGAAAGTACCATATCCCATTAAACGATGAAGAAAAAGTAGGAAAAAGAGAATTAAATTACATTCCGTTGCGTTCAAATAGAGCATCCGTAAGGTTAATTGTTCATCCAACCGCATTAAATGCAAACAGGCCAGAATTGCAGTGGTCTCACGTTCCAGTGGTCTGTAGCCGTGGTTCCTATCCTCAATTGCACCTTGCAAAAACTCAGAATTCAGATTTTGAGCACTTAACCCCAAAAAGAAATTTTCAATAGTGTCGAAATTCATCCCTGTTTTAATGGTTTTTCTTTCCTTCTCTTTGTCGCTCGTCTCGAATACTAATGCCACCTTCAAAACAATCAGGTGCAGCAAAAGTATCACCAAGCGCGATTTGGATAGCATTTTCCCACGCTTCAGGAAGTTTACATGTTTTTATTTTTGACTTCCCTTTGGCTTCTTGTGTTATTTTTCTTTCCTTTGATTGGCTGTTGTGGTTGGTTTTGGCTTGGCGACCCTTCATCGAAAAGAACTTTATCTACATCTACTTTACTGTCCCCAGATAGTTGGCATTGGTGGGAGATACGGTAGTCCAATAACTAGAAACGGGATAAAAAGGTCTTATTATCAACCCTGGGTCTGTCACTGCAATATTGCGAGGCAAGACACCTTCCTCCTCGAATACAAACGGGTACCGGCAAACTCGCAGGGAAACCTGATAAAATTCCGAGGAATATTAACTGTAATATACTAACATTTCGTCCTGTTCCGTTTTGTGCTTTATGCTATATACAATGGTAATAAGACCGAGTGGAGCCCAATTCGGTCTGTAATCATACGAGTGATTGTCAAAATCGGGCAACCTCGAAACCGAAGTCCGATTTCATTATCATGAGTATGATTACAGACCTAATTGGACGACAAAGTTCTTTTACCAATTAATCAAAACTATGACAAAATTGGAGAAAGAAAATAGACATCACTCATAAGTTTTCACAAAAAAACTCGGCGAAATGCACGACAACAGGGCGAACATATGACGCGTACCGTCCACTTACCCGCAGGCATGATGTGTCAACTGTCTTATAACACTGTGCAGTTACAAGTATGACGCTTACTCCTATTACGCTCGTCTGATTGGCTGAAAACGAGTGCACTTTTCTTGCAACACGAGTGCAAATTAAAAATATAACACGCGCTTGCTTGCCAAAATCTCGTCCGTTTGAGTAAGAACAACATGATTTCGAGTTTGGTGTTAACAAGCACTTATAAACGAATATAAGCGACCCCAGCAGTTATGAATACTGCTGAACTAGTAGTGAAAATAAGACCTGAAAAACAAATTCAGGCCCGTACGGGATTCGAACCCCTGACCTTTGCGATACCGGTGCAGACCACTACTAACTAAGCTAACGAGCCAACTGGCAGCTGGCTTGTTAGATCCGCTGTTTGAGATTATTAATAATAACCTAGGCTTTCAAAAATTGTGTTAAAAAGTGCCCATCTCTCGACGATCTGTTTGACAAATTAGGAGCTAGACAAGTGACACAGATAACTCAAATGATTATGTTTTTTGATAACGATAGCAGCGGATATTTGTGGACTGGGTTACTGATATGTTTTCAAAATAGTTGTGTCTCTAGTCGTCCAAACATCCAGATGGTGTATTTCATTCATTTGGGCAATCAAGTTTTGAGAACATTTGAAAAAAAATTAACTTACAAAATCTACAGGAAATGACGTAAATTTGAATAAAGTATTAGCGATTTTTTTAACTGAGGATAGTTAAAATGAAAATGTTATGGTTTCAAGAACATACTCTTGAAAACATACTGCGTAAGATTTTGGTTGCATATTATCGTAAGAACCAGGCGAGATAATTTGCAAAATTGCAGCATAGCGGTTTATTATTTCTCTTCTTTAACAATGTTAACAAAACCATGTTAGACATAAAAAAATTTTAAAAAGTTATTATGGGTTCTATTATTAATAGCTGATTATACATGATCTCGGTATATGCTCAAAATTAAAAGGTTTGATTAATACACACTGCTGTATTGCTAAGTGTCTATAGGACACTTTCATAATAACATTGAGCCCTTGGTGAAACCAATGTTAGTTTTCACGCGCTCTACAATATAGAAATACGCGAACAAATATACTCCCCCCGAAAAGTGACGAACAGGCTATAAATTCAGGCAATTTAGCAAACAATTGAAGCTGCCATTAGTCTTTTAACACTTTAATTGTTTTAAGCACTGCTTTGGTTTCCTTTCACATCATCCTCCGGCTTGAAAGCGAGATTGTTGTGTCCAACTCTCTCGTCATTATTGCTGTTTGATAACCGTTGCGTCCTTCGGAACTTGACCAACAAAACAGCCAGAGCTACAACTGCGACCAGTCCAAATACTCCAGCGCCTGCCACACCACCGATTAGAGCTGTATGTTTACTTTGACTTAACTCTATAAAACAACAGACAAGAACACATTTCACTCCCCTGGTGAACCATATCATTCAAGTCCCAACCTCTGAACCGTGATCGTTTCAGTCAGCGACGAGGGCTAAGGCCTCTTTAAGAATTAAGTTCTGGATCTTGCTTTGCGATTCATTTTCCTAACAGCCAATCAGATTCGTGAAATGCTTGATGAGTAGGTCGGATCCCTCAAGTTTTATCGCGCCGGCCAAAAGAATCGTGGCTTGTATGCTGAGACTCGACAAAATCTACGAGACGCTATTATCATTATAGAGTTGGGTAAGAGTTGCAAATGTATTGCTGAGCACAGGTGTGGGGCTGGGCTCTGATGGTACAGATAAACGACGCATCCTTTTGCAAAGAAGCAGTAACAGGGGTAAAAAAAAAGTTTCTCTCATTTAGGAGGGAGGACAGCGGGGTCTCAAAAGAATGCTTGGTTGTGGTTTTAGCGCATGGGTGTTAGACATTGGATCTAAATCCTCATCTTTGCTATGGATCAATATATACACTCCAGAAGGTGCCATTCTTCCCTCAAAAATAGTAGTGGGATCATGTGACAGACGCGGTGACACTAATGCAGCCTTCAGCTTTCTTAGACCCGATTCATTAAAAGGATCGTAACGTAACAAACAGATAAAAACACTGTATTAACGAGTTATTTTTTCGTAAACCTATTGTGATCGAGTGGTTCGTCTTTTTTTGCCGCCTCGAACACTACAGGTCCACCTGTAAGAATGATTTTGTTTGTACTCTCTTCTTGGTTTCCTCCATCTCGTGTCACTTCTCTCCTCTTTCTCTTGTTCTTTATACAGCCTTTACTGCACCTGCAAAAGTGTTCTTCGGATTTTGAATTACGAATGATTAGCACGTGGACAAAAATGCAAAAGAATCAGCAATGCATTTTTGAATAACCACATTTTGAAATTTTCCATCAGCGGACCAGTGAACCAGTGAGCCGCCTTAAACTTGCCTTGTTTTTATTCCCTCTCTATAAGTGTTTTAAGCCATCCCTAAGAAGGCACTACTAATCAAGATGGCCAGAAATGGTAATCGCATTGTGATCGTGAACGAAAGATTCAGGCGCTTGCCCTTTCAAGGCTATCGTGTTGTTTATTTACATGAGCAAGCCACTTTCCTCTTAAATTACCTGTCTCAAACCAGGAGTGTAAGCTAGTAGTAAAGAAGAGTCAAGGAAAATTTTTACAAAGAGCATTGACGCAACCTTCTACGACGGACCAGTACTCCGCGCTGGAAGGATAGCAATATTTAAGGTACGGGGATGGGTTTGGATGAGATCCGGCGGAATAGTCCACTTAGTTTGCATGCAAAATATATATTTATATCGATACTAAGAATAAAACTTTATCATTCACCGAATTCATCAATTACACCAAGCAGGTCAGATGTAATATTTCTTGTGGAAGCATCTCACGGATTTTATAACAAACAAACAAACAAGAAAAAGCAAAATCGGCTGAGACATTTCGCAGTCACACCTGGAAGGATCATAAGCTCTCTAAAATCCAGTTGGGGTAATTCACCCTGACTTGTTTGCAGTGTAACTGAATAATTTGAGACCAACCTGGAATCAGGATAGTTATGGTGACAGGCCAGCAGCTCACAATGGAAGTACACTGTGTCGTAGTCGTTCCAAAATCTAAGTGCTCTGATTTTAAACTGTTGGTAGTGTCGGGTTGGATTATAACTGTAGTCAAGCGTCGAATCTGTGGGGCATCTTTCCGTTGAAATAACAAAAAAACGAAAACAATACGAAAATAAAACAAATAAAATCGTAAATAGCAGAGCCTCAGTATGGACCCTTGAAGACCTAAGACCGGTTCACCAACAAGACCATATAAAGGCCAAGGACCAAATAGCGATTAAGAATGAATTTGCTGGTCTTCACTCAACGGCTTGTTATTCATTAGTTTTATTGTATAGGCTGTCTTAACCACAGCCTTTTTATATTGTGTTGCAATAATCGTATCAGGCTTTGAAAGTTTTGAAAGCTTAGCTAGCAGCTGGTTCTGCTTAATCAAGGTATATTTATATGCTTACCCGTTTCGAAGGAAGGTGTATTGCGGCCACGAATAAAAGCTTGCATCTTTAGTCGCCTTACAGTTCTCAGCCATGATGACTAGGTCAGCTGAGGACGCCACGCTGTACTGTAAATACACATACTCATTCAGAGCCACTGATAGAGGGTAGTCTCGCTCCGTGAAGGGCGTGATAAAAGACGAATTCCTATAGAAGTCCATCTTGAAGGTGAACGAACCATATCCAGCTAAATAGCGAAAATTATAAAAAAGACCATGTCAGCGTCTTCTTTATTTTAATCGTTATAACCAGCTGAAAAGGTACCTTTAGGAAACGTTCTCAGGACTGAAATCAAACAAGGTAGAATTTGGTTCATACGGGGCATTTCATGACAAACGTCGAAGGAAATCTCTATTTCGGGTAATAACTCTAGTCTCTTCCCTAAACAGAAGGCTGTACCTAATCTTACAGCGAAATATTCTTTAGAGGTCAAGATTCTCAAGTGAAGCTGGCATGGCAGAGTGGTTTACATGGTTTAGAGCTTTCTATCTGGAAGTATAAGGTTCGGTTGGAATGCTTTTGTTTGTTCCGAGTCTAACTGCTCCGTTTCACTTTGCAGATACCCAGAAGGTTTGAGATTTTTAAAAATTATCCCACTACCTGCGTGGGTGGTCCTGAGTTGGACAGGGTACTTGCGCAGTAGCCTGGCGGTTATCGCGGCAGACCTAAGACCGAAAGATCTGTACTCAAGCCCTGGCTAGGTTATTGCGATGTTTTTTGGGCAAGAAACAACACTGATATCCTTCTCTACTCCTAGTATAGATGGGAATAAAACGGAGAGGGATCTCAGATAACTTACTGGGGCCGAGTTAGCCTACGATTGACTTGCAACTCGTACAAAGAAGAAACAATACTCTCGACTGCTTCATACTAATAAAACCGACCTGGGGTCCCTTCTAACGTAAATAACGTCAGTTCTGCGGTGTTAATCACACCCATTCATAATAAAGTTATCTATCTAGTTAGGTTACTTTCATTCCCAAAGTAAATCCTCTGAGGTGTGAAGGCCAGACTCATTAACTTCTTTCTGGAGTATCGGCAGTAGAATGGCAGTTTTATATCATGTGTACGAGTAACCACACCATCGATTATCAGGGCGTCGGCCAGGACCTCATTCCAGAAGATTAAATAGTCTTCGGTTTCGTTTCGCTGCGTCCCACAGCTATCTAAAGAGGTGCTGATCAAGAAGTGGGTGGAATTCTCGGTGGCTTTGCATGAGGCATAGCGCAAGCGTAGTTGATTGACTGTAAAGTAGTGGAATCTTTGCTTTTCCAGAGAAACCGTCATTCTGTTCTCCCCACACGAAACACTTGCAGTTTGGTCTAAAATGTGACAGAAGGTTTACAAACTTGAGGATAATTTCAAAATTTTGTTTTAGAGGTTTGCTGCTTCTTATTATCATGTAACGGACAGAAAGAAATAAATACCTGAGTAGTTAAAAAGTCTAAGATGTTTTTTTTTTCATAACTGTGCTTAAAATTTGCCACACAAGACACTTTCGAAATTTGTAATCCTAGGAAATTAACACCACCTGGTACCTAATCCGAGCATAAAGCCGTGCTCACTAATGAACTCACCCTACTTTAGCTAGTAGAATAATTACACCAAATCGGTGGTCCGGTCCGCGTATTATTTTTACAGGGGACTAAGATTATACGCTCTACTCTCGTGAGAAATCTAGACTTCTTTGTTACTTACACAGAAATTAAGAGATTTAAAATCGGACCCAAAAGGCTTGGAGTAAAATGATACTTCTTAAATGTGATATTTCTTGTCGCTTTCTCTTGAAGACAACCTGGTGAATTTCCTATATATATATATTTTTTTTTCCTCTTTACACATTTAGGGCCACACTAGCCATTGCTCACCAACACAAGTCAAATTGTTTAATCCCATAGTTAACCCTTTAGGACATCCGCAGTAAAATGTTCCGGGGATGTTGAAGCACTGATGACTGCAGCCACCATTATTGACGGTACATTCGTTGATATCTAAAAAAGAAAGCTCACTTCACCTTTCAGTTTGACAACTCTGCATAGTAACCGATTTAGAATATTGAGAGCCTTTACTATAAAGATTCATCAGAGGAAAAGGGCTTAAGCTTAAGAGGTGTTTGCCACTTTGCTTATTAGGTACAATTAAGTGTAAATATTTTCGGCTGTTTCCAGAGAGCGATTGACTGTTTATGAGAGCGATCAAATAAGTGTCACATTCTAAAAGACTGGTACGGATGTTCTTATTGGATCGTCGTTTTTATTTGTAAAGAGAGTGATATGAATACGAGTAACATACTCTAGCCGATTATGATTATTAGTCAATACTTCTCATGTTTCTCACCCGTACAAGACTTCCCGTTCGACTGCAGTTGAAATCCCCTTTCACAAGAACAGCTGTAATTTCCGGGAGTGTTGTCACAGTCCTGATCGCAACCTGCGGTTAACGTCAACTCCGGAAAAATATTTGACGGACCTGAAGCTTTCCAATATACAGAAAAAGAAAATTGTGGGTAATCGAAAACATTTTGCGGCAATGTTAAGCAATTTTCCAGCCTTTTAGCCGCAACGTGTCTGTCGTTATTGCTGTTATAGTAACCTGAAGATACAGACACTCACCTTTGGAACCAGAGTAGGCACATTCATCTACATCTTTAAGGCGAAAAAAAAGAAGACATTACTGAATGCTGCATTCATCAAGATCCGTGCAAACGGAGAGCACGGGTGCACAGGTATTATAGACTAATTACACGACGGGAGAAGGATGGGTGAAAGCATGGATGACTACATGACCAGGGTGCATGAGTGGAGGGACGGACCCACAGATTTAGGAAAGATGAACGGAAAGAAGGACAATCGGATGGGAATTATTTTGGGGAAATCTATGCTCAGAATCCTCCAAAAGCTAGTTCCACGGTCCTGGTAAAGTGTCGCGGGACTAATACAGCCACACGATAGAAGTAAAACAAATCCTCAGAGACCCTTGATGAAGATTTTTCTAATAAATGTTTGAGTGTGCCTAGTTCCTCAAGGGTTTTCTTTTCAGCAATTAAGAAAATCTACAATTTTGCTTACCAACACAGCTTAAGAAGTAAGGTGAGCGTAGAGAATACCCAGAAGAACAGACGCCATTTACGTAGAACCTCCAGGCACTCGAGGATGATATTCCGGGTGTGGGTGTACCGCTAGACGAACAGCCCTGTCCAACTACTACTCCTCTATTCATTAAAATTGCATACGATCCCTCCATGCTCAACACAGGATGGGGAATCGCAAAATGCAGTGTGGTTGAATTACTACCAATTGTCACGTTTTGAGAGAGTGCGTCCACTTTGTAGACTGTTTGTCCACTGGGCAGCAAGACGAGTCTTATGAAAGACGATGTTCGAGGTTTCTTTATCTACAGAAAATAAAAAGCTTTCTTATCGTAAAACAGAGTTTTTGTCAAACAAAATGGGAGAGTGCATTAGTGTATTTTTCGCTGTGTCGTTTATTTGGACACGATCAATTTTGAACAACTCGAATTGAGTAGTATTGGAATTTCCGTAAGGTGTGACACCCCCGTTTTTAGGACACTGCGAGGAAATTTTGGATTTTTGAAGGAGGAAAATCGGGAAAATCTTACAAAAAAGTCATAGAGGAAGGATAAGAACCAATTACTAAATTCATCCACAAATAAAACCAGGCTACGCTAAGAACCGGGGGCACAGCCCTTAGAGATGTGCGATCTTACATATGCACCATCACAGCTTCCTTTGTCTTAGGAGCTGTACATATTAACATATTCCATGCTCTTCTGTGTGTGTTCAATGATTTCACGTAGTAGATGATATCGAAATTTAATGTGACAACATAAGATCTGTGGAGTACCAGCAAAGGAAAACTGTCCCTTTTCGGGTTTACCCAAAAGTGAAGATGAATCAGACGAAAAGTTTTGTCGCTTTTCCTTTATATATGAATGTAATCGACACCCACTTTGATTCCCACACTACACCTGAAATCTATATCCCATTATGTATGAAAGAAAACAAACACGGTTTCCACGGCTTTAAATTTTCGCAGTGAGCCAACCACATTGTCCCGCTGGGGGCCCAAGATAAAGAAAATAATTAATTATAATTTAAACTCTACGAAAAGCGCGGGAAAGACGCGACAAGATCTCTTTGTTTAAATACCTCAGAAAGACCAGGTAAAGGCAATGATAACGTGTACAGTTTTTCTCCTCAATAATGAATCATACGAAAAAACATACTAGAAATAAAAAAGCAGGGCTAATATTGTGGGTTATGAACTTGCTAAGAGCGTAACCCATAATGCCAAATATTCTCAGAAGATGCGTGAAAATATGGCCAAATGTGACCAAACTCATTCAAGTTGAAAGTGAGAAAAAATTGCCCAAAGAGGTTTCATTGGAAAAAGAGCCTGATCCCAAATATTTTTGATAACCGTGTTTCGACGCTCTTAAAAATTAGCAAGGTTACAAGTTTGTTATCCTTACCAATCGGTCAAACCGAATGCTCCAGTACGAATAACCTGATCCGTATTTGCTCACGGGTGTCATGGGCATGCGACTTGCTAAAAGGACTCGTGGAGTACTACCTAGAAAATGGTTGTTGATCATCAATCGTTGAAGCTCTATTTGCACAAAGAAATACCAATCACATAATCATTCCTGATCACTTTTGTATGATACTGTACTCTGCCTATAAGCCAACTCCTATGAGAAAGTGGCTCAAAATGTCATTTGTTTCCTTTCCATTCTCAGTAAGATACTAAACGTCTTCCGGTAGGACGTCATTGGTGTAACAACAATCTAAATGTCAATTACATGGGTGGACACCTCGAAAATGAAACCTTTTCGAGTATTCAAATATTACTTCAATTCCAGATGGCTATTGAAAGGAAATTTATTTCAATGGGTTACAAGTCTGTTTTAAAGATGCAGTTCCGACTTTTACCTTTTCGTTTCGATGAAAGTCAACGGGTAACCGAATTCACCTACCTCAGTAGCAGATTTCTGTCTAGTGTACTTACTATTGCTGCAATGCAATATGAATTATTAATCAAGTCCGACTCTCAAAAAGAAAAGTGTTTAATTTCCTTACTCGTGCCAACAAGAATTGTCACACATCGCCATTCACTTTCCAGTCTGTAAAACAAAAAAATACATCACATAAGGAAAGCAAATATAAAAATAACTTCGATAAATAAACAGATAAATATAAACGATTAAGTTGTTTTTGGGGGATGGGGAAAGCCAAACACCAACCACTACCTACACTTCGTCATACACAACCACAAGCACACACATCCACCCAAGTATAAAATGTTCCACTGAGTCCTCTATTTCACTTATTGAGCCAGTGTAGCGATGGGGACAACTAAATATCTACTCCTAATGACTTATGGTCATATCTGTTGCAATCATTCTTACAAGTAAGGCGCAAGTCATCAATAAAAATAATGATAAAAAAACTATGTCCACAAACTTTATGATAAGATCTACAAACAAAATGGTAAGATACTTCATAAAACGAAAATTTATCAGTTTCCCTTCTTAAAATACTTAATCTAACGATTAACAATAGTGAAGTTATTACTCTAATAATGATATACATAACACCTTTACTTCTTACCCAGCAGAGCAAAAAAAATCAATCCGCCTAAATTAATATATTTGGGGTTAATGACCATACCACCTGCAATTCTTACCCAGCAGAGTCGCTTGCTTTAAAGCAGAACAACTGCTGTCCAATTTGATATTGACTGGGGTACCACGTGACATTTCGGTAATAGATTTGTCCATGATTGCGTAAAGATGTAAGTTGCATTCCACTTGGAGATGCAGTGCTTATTTCCACAATGCTAAAGTAATTGAGTAGAATAACTTTAAATTTATCATAAATGATAATGACTTCAAATGCTGAGAAATGTTCAGGTTCCGCACCAGAAATTATAACTTGTTGCGTTACCAATTTTACTCACGTAGATGTTTGCTGAAAACCGTGAAGCGTTAATTGATTATTTTTTTCTGCTCTAATAGAAATTCTTCATCATTTTAACGACCTGAATGGGACAGAATTTGCATGGTAGCTTATATTAACACCCTTCAAAGTTGGTCATTATTTATGAGAGCTTGTAATCTTTTTGGCTATGAGGATCTTAATAGTTAGGTATTTGCGTCTCTTAAGTGGAAGAAAAATCTAAGGAAGAAACTAATGAATGGCAAGTTGTTTAGTTTACATACGATTTTGAGAAGTCTGCAACCTGTACTTCGATCACTGCTCTATAGGCGGAGCCAATAGGAAGATCGGAACATTCACCATCTTTTGGGGTGGATGCTGTAAAGACAGGCTTTTCGTCACAATGACCAGCATGGTTACCAATCACCATGACAAGAAACTGTAATGGGATACCACTGAATGGTGTGGCGCTAGCGAAGTTTGTAGTCCCCGCTGGAAAGTCTTCTAAAGTTAATGCTATTGCAAAAATTCCGCCAACTGCTGCTTGCGACCCATTGTAAGTTAGAACACAAGATTTCTGCGAGGGAAATTGATAGTAACTGATAACTCCCTTTTGAGTTCGCTGAATGATGCATATTTTCCTATTCGTGAGGAGACGTATTCCCGGAGCCTAGAACACACTTCAGCTCCTGACATACTACGGTGGTTTCCCTATGATACTCAACGTTTCTTTTCTGGAAAATTCGCACCATGCATTTTTTTTTCCGAACGTCTAGATCTCGAACCAAATTTTTTAGACGATGTACTATATCATAAGACTATTTCATATAGTGTATTGTTATTAGTGCAAATAAGCAGTTTTGTAAGTAATGCATCGTATTACATTGTATTGTCGAGTACTGTAAAATTCATTAGTATTAGTATTAAATAAATAAAAATAAAATAAGTTCATTTCAACTTTTGGTAAATCCTGCCTTCAATTACCTCATCCATTTCACCGTAAGGAAAACTTGTATTGACTTTGAGGGACTCCGAATAAGTCGCAAAGCGACATTTTACTGTATCGCCATCTGGGTCTTCAACTGGAATTCGAAATGACTGGCGACAACCTCCTGGAAATCGAACAATGGCTGGACTTCGTGTTACAGGAGATGAGTTAATTTTTCCGTTATCCGATCGTGGAGCGAGGTTTATTGCAGTTTCTACTTTCCAACCTGAGGAACCAGCGTAATGACTTAGAGAAATCCAACAGCAACCTGAATAACTTGTAGGAAGAGAGAAAATAGAAAAGTTGTAATGAGCTTCCACCTGGTTTTTGACTTTTGTTCACCCAACCTCGCATTTAAGCCTTGAAGTTGTCTTATTGCGTATTTGAGTATGCGCCTAAATCAACGAGATTTTCTCGGTTATTAACGAAACCTTTCATTAAAATTTCATTTCACTGTAACCTCTAGCGATCTAAAATACTAATTTCTAGTATTTTGTCCAATAATAGTTTGTAAGTTATTTTGACATTTTAACGGGGCCGGTATTTGAACAGTTTGGTACAGTGATACCATTCCTATCGTAACGTAAAAACAATATAACAGCTTAATTGCTACCTTTTGGTAAAAGACTCTTTTTTGATGTCATTTAATGATCATTTTTTTATTATCATAAAAATTATCATTGTCATTTTCTTAGGTTCCCGTTGGATTGTCATGTAAACCCACTATGAGAACGTTGGCTAAAAATTGCAACGAGTTTTTCGGTTGTGGACCTCGTTGTTCCTAAAACATGTCATCTGACAAACTAGATTGACAAACTTAAGTCCTATATCGAGAACATGATCCGGCCTCTTGAGGTGTCTCTAAATCGAGTCCTAATAGCACATGCTTCTCTCACATGCATCTCAGACGGCGAGTGAGTACAGTGTGATGAGAAAATATGACAGCAAGAAACTTAACAGAAGTTTCCTTCTGCTCAGTTCTTAAGATGTAAGAAAACATACCTCACGTGCCACTGCTTTTCGCTGTTACTGAAAGTGTAAGTGAAGTTATTTTCGCCCACTGTCCAATCCTCAGGGACACTATAATCAGTGCAGTAGAAATAGGTGTTTGAAATGGTAAGCGAAGACCCACACAATGAATTATACGAATTGTCACATCCCGCTTTCCACCAGCCTCCGTAATTAATAAGTTGACCGCTGCTTTTCATGTTTTGGTCACAATTGAGACTACCACTGCTTGATCGTCTCCAACCGATACGAAATGAAAAGTGTACCTGAGAACAAACAGGTAGATTACACTAAGTTTGCCCACTGATACACAGGGTAGACTAGCAATATAAGCCACTTCGCGTAGGTGGGAGAAAATGCATTTATTGGTTTAAATGTGGCGAAGTGTTTTAACACAGCAGATGATGTCGCGCAATCATGCATCATTAAAATTATGTATGATTGCGCGACATCATCTGCCCTTCACGTTTCTCACACAATGAACAATGATTGAATTGCTAAATTTAGAGATAACTTACAGTCATGCTGAGTTCTCTGTGATGACTTGACATTCGTAAATGACTCGACTCGAAATATAGAAATCTCAAACTCAAGATGAGAGATTACTTGTTTATGATCGAATTGTAATCACCGAAAATCATCTATTAGCAGTTCTTGGAGCAAGCGTTGAAACGCAGTTCATAAATGACTTTCTATACAGGCGCCTCAAGCTCAAGATAGGCGAGTATTCCGAACATAACCCTAGTTCTATGGCACCTTCAAGAAGAAATTGTTTGTCTTCGCCTCTCTGATGCAAGATAGGGATATGTCCCTGGCGAGGTACGCTTAAGAATTAAGGGAAGTTGAAGAATTTCAACATTTTAGTACGATGGTTCAATAATACTTTAAACATGGGAATATCGCGAAAGGAAATCTTAGCTTTCATTTTCTTAAATCTGCGAAGGAGGATTTCGTTTGAAAATGTTATGTCTTGGGACAACATGACTATGTTTTGAATTGGAACAGTTAATATTCGGGTAATTTCCATACTTATGAGCTGCTTCTGCTCTAATTTTGTAAGCGGCACCTTTTCTTAAAGTACAGATCGTCTGATGTGTACTACGGTAAAACTGCATGACTCATTTGTACCACCGTCCCTTTCAAACCTAAATCGAACAGTGAGTTGGACAATATTCCTTCATACTGAAAGGGGTATGTTAAGAGGAAGTGAAATGACGTATGACTTTAACTGTGGCGCTATTGCTGAAGCTAATAATGGATCTCCAGGCAACGCGCAGCATCATCTGTAATTCAATATTTTTAGAAAAGCGACACACTTGGCTGCATGGGAAGATAGGTGTAAAATGGACGGTAAACATAATAATCGAGATACTTTCGCTGGGAATTATTTCAGTTCAATGCGAGAAGGTCAAAGAAATTACGGAAAGGTTTTCAAAGATGACGTTCCTTGAACTACAGGCAACAAAAGTTCAAGGTAAGTGACGCATGATCGAACCGCCACCATTGTACAACAACGCAAAATGGCTTGTCAGTACGTCACGGAAATTTGATCGGCGTAAATTTTTGCAATCCGTGAATATCTTCGCTATCCTTCACCAACCATATTCGTTTTGGGTTTATCCTGATCTCCCTGTTGTTCTTTTATCCTGGTGTAGGACTATTTCAAGGTTGTCTTGTGTTTAAAAGGCCAAACCTTTATCAAAATAGGTGAACGTTGGTCCTTCCAAAATAACATTCGGAGGAGGAGGGGGGAGGATGATGGCTATGCAAATCAGAAGATGTGCGCTATTTTTTCTCGTTCTATAGGTCTACCGATGTTACATTCGTCCAAAGCCACATTAACTTTCCGTACATTTGAGTGGGTAGAGGCGTTCGAGAAAGTAGAACTCTTGCATTTGAAACCTAACTTCTGGGCCGTTAAGAGCAAAAAGTCATATGTCAAAACTGAAAAAGTTCTTCAGCAAAACACAAACATATCGGGCCAAAATGCGCATCCGATCAAATTTTTCAAACTTTGTGATTCATAGGTTTTTGAGAGCCAAATTTGCCGACTCTTTAACCTATTCACCTCCCACCATTGGTAAGAATTTGCATAAGTGAACATTTTCATTTGTTAAGTAAATATGCATATATGTACCATCTTGTATATCCTGGGTTCGACTCAACTTGAATTTGGATACTAGATCAGTTTTACCCGGGGTAGTTTAAACTGTTTTGAAAGAATTATTAAGCACTATACCGTGTTGCTGTTAGAATCGTCTGGAGACCACATTATACTGCCGTGTCGAAAGTGCGATGCTTCTGTCAATGTGCCAAGAGCCAAAAAAGCAAAGATCCATCCCACGGGAAGCCACCTCACCATTTTATTGCTCGCAGGTTTCGGCTTGAACTGAAGAATCGAAATGCACGGTGCGCTGAGTGCTCGTCTTACAAGGCTAAGACCAAGACCCGTGCTCCTTTGAGATATGACTCTTTTTATATCTTCCCAAAACAAATGAATAGCATTAGTGGTCCACCAGTTATCTGTCGACTTTTTTTAGAAAACGATACATGACATGATGGTTCTAATAAAAGTGCAATTGTAATTTGCTTGCCCGCATTATTTAGGAAAGGTTTTGTTTCTAAATAATAGCGTCAGATCTTACGGATGATGACTGTGTCGTGCAATTAATTCTTATAACATGACTCATGAGTTTTTCTTAAAATCACCCTATGAAGGAAAGCTATTTTTACCGTTTTGCTAGGATGGATGTTAAGTGGTTCCTGATTATGTATTAACTGACCATATGTTGAAATCTGTTGAACATTGCCTGGAGCTACATAAAATCAGGAACTTTACAAGAATGCTTTCTCATTCCATGTTTGTGACCTCATACCATCAAGTGCGTAGTTTTGAATTGTCTCCAATAGGCTTCAGATCGCACGGATGGACTTCCAGTGCTTCACCTTTAATGAACTAAATTTGGTCAAAATATTCCCGAAAGGGGTTTCTCCTAATCGCCTTTCAGCAAATGCAACCCTAAAGGAAACAGTGAAGGCTCAATACTGACTACATTGTGCGAAATTTTACGTTTATGCTCAGGATTCAACGAAAACATTCTGATGAAAGTTTCTTCGTTCTTTCGTTTTTAACGAAATGGAGTATGGAAAAAATCATTCTTTTTTTTCTTTGAGGCTTGTCGGTACGCCTCGAGTCTGTGTACTGGGGAATTAGGCCGGCCTAGTTTTCCCGACTGGGGGCTAAGCCTATCGATCATAAACACTTTGTTGATTGTCAACTTCTCAGTCGATTATCAAGTTGTAGTTGAAGATCAGTTTAGAAGTTAGTATTCAACTGAATGTTTCACTCTTCTAACTCCCCAGCTCAACAGTTATACAGTTAGTACCTTCATTTGCTCATTTTATTTTGTATTTTCTCCACATCAGAAGGAACTGAACGACGCCCATTAGCCAAGGTGCTCGGTATAAACCACATGATTGTGGTCAGCTATTAACCTGCAATATTTGTCTGAAAACCGCATAGAACTGTGATGTACGTTGCGCAAAATGTTCGGAACGAGGAAGGCTTTCAGGAATTTTTATTCTGAGATAAACTTATGTTTTGAAACAGGTTGCAATTCAGCGATTATCATATCATAACTTCAAGTAAACAGCTATCTTCGCCAATGATCATCAGTTCACGTCTCATGATTAGTGTGTCAAAAGCGTGAAAGTTGAATTTATTATTATGATCAATGGCCCACTCATCTTGAGGGATCTTGTTTTTGACAAAGCAAAACATGCACAGTCCCATACAACACTTCAAAAACACTTCAAGTGGAAACCACGAAAACATTGATTTGACTGTTTGGTTTCCAACATGTTCATCTCAATGCCTAACGTATTCCAACTGTATTCACTCGACTTAATCTCCTCTATCGGATTCGTATAGGTAAAATCAGTATTGTACCAGAGTGTCACGTCTTTCAGCTTTTATAGCCTCTACAATTTTACAATGCATGCCATTGTTATCAACTTTTTCGGTGCTCGTCGTGATTACTTACTCGTTTGCAAGATGTTCTGCTACCGAAAATACAGGAACCATTAACGATGAGATCGAATGGAACAATAAGCAATGTTTGCAAAATAAGTTTTTTTATGTAATGAGTGATTTAATTTCCTCATCCTGTGCGCTAAACAATGTAATAATCATCGAAAAATTGAATAAGAATCCAATGATTCTTTTCTCTTAGAAAACTTGGATAGTTTCCGTTATTCATCACTTGCCACTGATTTTGTTTCACACCTGTTGCAAGAAAGCCAATTGCAAATATCTTGAAAATATCTCGTAAAAACGCCGAAAAAAATGAAATAAAAGAAAGGTAACCAAAAAGACGGCAAAGTGATTTTAATAAAGCACCCGCACTTCTCTGATTTGCCATAGAATCAAAAATGAACATTTTCATGTACTTTTTCCTCCGTTGTTGAATTTCAAAGGATTTGAAAACAATTTTCGAACGGTTGGGTGACAGCATAGAATCCCCAAAGGTGGCAAGTTGTATATTTGCTTTTTAAAGGCGGGGGAAAGTGGATGATATCTGGAGTATACTTGTTACAGTAATGAATATTTTACACAATACTGTTATAACATTTTTTTATTTCACCAAGCTAACAAATAACACAAGCTGTAATTGAAACAGTTAAAAGTTAAGTTTGATAGTATAGATAAGTGAGTGTATATGAGCTTAAAATATGTGAACCAGGTGCCAACCAATATGTACTGCAAACTAGTATGGACATTTCAAGATGCCTTCCGAAGAAAAAACTCTGTGAAGATTATTCCAAAGGCATGGCACTCTATATTATAAAAACATGAAAATATGTACCCTCCGTAAAAGAAACCAACAAGAGATAAATCTTTAAAAGAGATAAATCTCTTTTGAAGAAGAAATATATCAATACCACAGTTTTAAAAGGAAATTCGATTTAATTATTGCCTTCCTTTGCGATCACCTCGTCCTTCAGCATGTAAGCAGCACTGTTTTTTTTCCCGCTGGCTCGTCTTTGTTACTGTCCGGGAATCACTGCGTCCTGCGATACTTGACCTACAGAGCTACAAATACGACCATTCCAAATACTCAAGCACCTGCCACACCAACTATCAGAACTGCATGCACACCCTGCTTGGGCTTTGCAAAGACAAACAAGAACAAGTGACATTCCTTGAAGACTATTCACGCCGTAGCCTCAGAACAGTAAAGTCTCGGTCAGTGCCCCGAAACAAGGGCTCTTAGGAATAGAGTTTGGTCAAGCGTCACCCTTTTGACAAAAAATGGTTCCGGAAGGGTGGAAAGGTCAGGCTGTTTACAAATGAAGAAAACGAAGTAAACCAAAACAACTATAACAATTCGAAAGCAAATTTGGTCATATGATCATTTGGTAGAAAACCATAAGATAGACATGTACAGACATGCCACATTAACAAATGCTTATTTCTAAAACCTGCCTTTGGATTCTTCTTCTTTGGCCCCCTCGAACAATACAGATCCGCATGTAAAAATGACTTTGTTTGTACTTTCTTCTTGCTCTGTCCCATCTCGTGTCACTTCTTTCCTCTTTCTCTTGTTCTTTACACAGCCCTTGCTACATCTGCAAAAAGTAAGTTGGGTTTTGAGTTACAAAGGACTGTGACATGGACAACTTTCTGGAATTTTAATACAGGGTCATTCTTCCGACTTAGCTTGTATGCAATGCAACTGAAATCTCACAAACCAACTTGGAATTAGGAAAATTCCGGTGACAGGCCAGCAATTCACAATGGAAGTACACAGTGTCATAGTCGTTCCAAATCGGAGAGTTTTGATTTTAAACTGTTGGTATTGTCGAGCACATCGCGCTTGCCCCTCGCTCCTCTCCTCTTGCCTGAAAATCACGAGAAAGACAAGGCGTTTTATGCAGTCTTAGCTTAGCTACATTTATCAGATCAACTACTGTCTATGCTTGATCACGGCACAATGATAAACCAACCCGTTTTGAAGAAAGGTGTACTGTGGCCAAGAATAAAAGCTTGCGTCTTAAGTAGCCTTACAGTTCTCAGCCATGATGACCAGGTCAGCTGAGAACGCCACACTGTATTGTAAATAAACATATTCATTGAGATCCACTGTTAGGGGGTAGTCCTACGCTGTGTAGGGCGTGGCAAACGAAGAACTCGTAAAAAAGTCCATCTTGAAGGTGCAAGTGCCATATGCTGCTAAACAATGAGGGGAAAGTAGGAAAAAGAGAATGAAATTACATTTCGTTTAATTTTTTTTATCATTACATGCAGTCAAATAGAGCATCCGTAAGGTTAATTGTTCGTCCAACCGCACTAAATGCAAACAGGCCAGAATTGCAGAGGTCTTAAATTCAAGTGGAATGTAGCCGTGGTTCCTATCCTCTATTGCACCTTGCAAAAACCCAGCATTCAGATTTTGAGTACTTCACCCCAAGAAGAAATTTTCAATTGAGTGTCGAAATTCATCCTTGTTGTGATGGTTTTTCTTTGCTTCTCTCTTTCGCTCGTCTCAAATAGTAACACCACCTCTAAAACAATCAGGTGCAGCAAAAGTATCACCAAGCGCGATTTAGTCACTTGCATTTTCCCACGCTTCAGGGAGTTGGCATGTTTTTATTTTTGAGTTCTTTTCGGCTTCTTGTGTCATTTTTCTTTCCTTTGATTAGCCGTTGTGGTTGGTTTTGGCCTGGCGATACTCCATCGAAAAGAAATTTATCTACATCTACTTTAATGCCCCCAGATAGTTGGCATTGGTGGGAGATATGGTAGTCCAATAGCAAGAAACCGGATAGAAAGGTCTTATTATCAACCCTGGTTCTGTCACTGCGATATTGTGAGGCAAGACACCTAACTCCTTCAGTGGTTCTCCTCCACCCAGAATACAAATGAGTAAACTCGCAGGGAAGCCTGATGAAATTCCAAGGAATATTAACTGTAATATACTAACATTTCGTCCTGTTCTGTTTTGTGCTTCATGCTAATTTGTAATGGTAATAGGACTGAGTGGAACCCAATTCGGTCTGTAATCATAAGAGTGATTGTCAAAATCGGGCGACCTCGAAGCGGGAGCCTGATTTCTTAATCATGAGAACGATTACAGACATAATCGGACGACACGAAGTTCTTTTATTAATTAATCAAAACTATGACAAAATTAGAGAAAGAAAATAGGGATCTCGGATACGCTTTCACAAAAAAAACTCTGCGAAATGCGCGAGAACGGGGCGCGCACATAACGCGTACCATCCACTTACCCGCAAGCATGATGTGTCAACTGTCCTATTACACTGTGCAATTACAAGTATGACGCGTACTCGTATTACACTCGCCTGATTGGCTGAAATTGAGTGCATTTTTCATGTAACACGAGTGCAAAGTTGTAACACGAGTGCAAATTACAAATAGCACGCGCTTGCTTGCCAAAATTTCGTCCGTTTTGACTTTCTGTAATACGCTTTTCGTGTAAATTATTAACAAGTAACAACATGATTTCGAGTTTGGTGTTAACAAGCACTTATAAACGAATATAAGCGATCCCAGCACTTATGAATGCTACTGAACTAATAGTGAAAATAAGGCCTGAAAAACAAATTCATGCCCGTACGAGATTTGAACCCCTGACCTCTGCGATACCGGTGCAGCCCTCTACTAACTGAGCTAACAAGCCAACTGGGAGCTGGCTTGTTAGATCAGAAAATCTTCGGCTTCGTTCTACAACGTCCCGCAGCTATCTAAAGATGTGGTGATCAAGAAGTGGGTGGCATTCTCGATTCCTTTACACGAAGCATGGCGTAAGTGTAGTTGATTGGCTTTAAATTAGTAGAATCTTCGCTTTTCCAAATACACAGTTATTTTGTTCTCCCCGCACAAAACAATTGCGGTTTGGTCTAAGATAAAAAAAAAGTTGAAATACTAGTTTAAAGAAACTTATTTTGAATCTTTTTACTGGCGATCAAAGGGTATAGGCAGTAAGCTGGTTTCAGTGTAACATCCCGTCTTTCTTTACTACCACAGAGGTGGTAAATAATTTAAAACTAACATTTTTACCTGTTCATATATCAGGAAATAGTGGTTTGATATCGTAATGTCTCTCTGAATGAAAAGGCCTATATTTAAGCATGTAGATTCCCAGATTGAAAATTATTTACCAAAGAACAAGAAGAGCTTTCAAAAAAAGAGAAAGCAGGGAAAAAAAAAAAACACGCCGAGGGATAAAGGGCGACATACATGCAGAATAGACGTGGGTCAGAATCAATTCAGCGTGTTCCAGGTTCTCGATCTATGCGTGGGCCACGCTTGGTGGTTGTTGTTGGCAACTCCCATAGCAAAGAAACATTATTATGAACTAGGATTTTGTAAATTTGTATAAAGTATTAGCAGTTATTTAACTGAGAACAGTTGAGATGAAAATGTTATCTTTTTAAGAACACTCTTGAAAACATAGCGCTCAAGTACTTGGGTACATATAATCATGAAGACCAGGCGAGAGTTTTTGCAAAATTGCAGCAGAGCTGTATATTATTTCTCTACTTTAACAATGCTAACAAAACCATGTTAGACATACGAAAAAACTTTGGAAAAGTTATTATGAGTACTATTATTGATAGCTGATTATATATGATCTCTGTATATGCTCAAAATTAAAAGGTTTGACTAATACATACTGCTATACTGGCTAAGCGTCTGTAAGACACCTTCGAAATAACAATGAGCCCTAGGTGAAACCGATGTTCGTTTTCACGCACTCTACAATATGGAAATACGCAAACAAATATGTTCCCTCTGAAAAGTGACAAATAGGCTATAAATTCAAAACATCCAAGCTACATAGAGGCAATTTAGCAAACAATTGAAGCTGCCATTAGTCATTTAACACTGTAATCGTTTTAAACACTGCTTTGCTTTCCTTTCACTTGTGTAAGCAGGATGGTGTATCCAGCTCTCTCGTCATTCTTGCTGTTTTGTAACCGTTGCATCCTACGGAACTTGACTAACAAAACAACCAGAGCTACAATTGCGACCAGACCAAATCCTCCAGCACCTGCCACACCACCGATCAGAGCTCTTTGTTTACTTTGACTTGGCTCTATAAAACAACAGACAAGAAAACATTTTATTCCCCTGGTGAACAAAATCATGTTCCAACCTCTGAGTCGTGATCGTTTCAGTCAGCGACGAGGGTCAAGGCCTCCTAGGGAATTAAGTTCTGGATCTTGCTTTGCGATTCACTTTCCTAACAGTCAATCAGATTCGAGAAATGCTTGATGAAACAGGCGCATCCTTTTGCAAAGAACCAGTCAGGAGGGTAAAGACAACAGAGTTTTTTCTCATTAAGGAGGGAGGGCGGCGGGGTTTCAAAGTATGCTTGTTTGTGGTTTTAATGCATGGGTGTTAGACATTGGAGTTAAATCCTCATCTTTGCTATAGATCAATACATGCACTTAAGAAGGTGTCATTCTTCCCTTACAAATAGTAGTAGGATCCTGTGAAAGACGCGGTCACACTAATGCAGCCTTGAGCTTTTTAGACCTGATTCAATTAAAGGATCGTAACGTAACAAACAGATAAAAACACTGTATTAACGAGTTTTTTTTCGGAAACCTACGATGATCGAGTGGCTCGTCTTCTTTTGCCGCCTCGAACACTACAGGTCCACCTGTAAGAATGATTTTGTTTGTACTTTCCTCTTGGTCTCCACCATCTCTTGTCACTTCTCTTCTCTTTCTCTTGTTCTTTATACAGCCCTTACTGCACCTGCAAAAGCGTTCATTAGAGTTTGAATTACGAATGACTAGCACGTGGAATAAAATGCAAATCAATCAGCAATGTATTTCTGAATGACCACATTTTGACAGTTTCTACCAGTGAACCAGTGGACCAGTGAGCCACCTTAATCTTGCCTTAACTTTGTCTTTATTTCCTCTTTCTCGTGTTTCAAGCCTAAGAAAATACAACTAATCAAGATGGCCTGAAATGGTAAATGAACCGTGATCGTGAACGAAAGGTCCATGTGCTTGCCCTTTCAAGGCTACCGTGTTGTTTATTAACATGAGCAAGCCACTTTCCTCTTAAATTGCCTGTCTCGAGCTAGGAGTATAAGTTAATAGTAAAGAAATGTGAGGGAGATTTAACAAAGAGCACTGACGCAACCTTTTACGATGGACCAGTGCTCCGCGCTGGAAGGATAGCAATATTCTAGGTAGGGGGATGGGGTTGGATAAGCTCCGACAGAATAGTTCGCTTGGTTTGCACGCAAAATTATGTATTTATATCGATAACGAGAATAAAACTTTATCATTCACCGAATTCATCAATCACATCACGCAGGCCAGATGCGATATTGTTTCGGGAAACATTTCACGGATTTGATAACAACCAAACAAGAAGAAGGCAAATCGGCTGAGACATTTTGTAGTCACACCTAGAAGGATCAAAAACTCTCCAACATCCAGCTAGGGTAATTCATTCTGACTTCGCTTGTTTGCAATGTAAGTGAATAATTTGAGACCAACCTGGAATCCGGAGAATTACGATGACAGGCCAGTAGCTCACAATGGAAGTACACTATATCGTAGTCGTTCCAAAATCTGTGCGTTCTCATTTTAAACTGTTGGTAGTGTCGTGTTGGATTATAATTGTATTCAAGCGTTGAATCTGTGGGGCATCTTTTCGTTGAAACGACAACAATACGAAAATGAAATTAATAACATTGTAGATAGTAGAGCCTCAATATGGACACTTGAAGACCTAAGATTGGCTTAGCAACAAGACCATATAACGGCTAAGGACCATAAAGCGATTAAAAATAAAAATATCGGTGCACCCCCAACGCCTCCAGCGTTGTTATTCACTGGTTTTATTATATAGGTTCCCTTAATCACATCCATATATATTATGTTGCGAAAATCGTATCAAGCTTTGAAGGCTTAACTCGCAGCTGGTTCTGCTTGATCACGGTATATTATATGCTTACCCATTTTTTAGGAAGGTGTATTGCGGCCACGAATAGAAGCTTGCGTCTTTAGTCGCCTTACAGTTCTCAGCCATGATGACTAGGTCAGCTGTGGACGCCACACTGTACTGTAAATAAACAAATTCATTCAGAGCCAGTGATAGAGGGTAGTCTTGCTCCGTGAAGGGCGTGGCAAATGACGAATTCCCGTAGAAGTCCAAGTTGAAGGTGAACGAACCATATCCCGCTTAATAGTGAAGATTAGAAAAAAGATTACCTCAGCTACTTCCTTATTTTTATCGTTATAAACAGCTGAAAAGGTACCCGTAAGGAAACTTTCCTAGGATTTAATTCAAACAAGGTAGTATTTGGTTCATACAGGGCATTTCATGGCAAATGTCGAAGAAAATCTCTTTTTCAGGTAACAACCTTAGTCACTTCCCTAAGCAGAAGATTGTAGTTAATCCTACAGCAAAAGTTTCTTCAGAGGTCACGATTCCCGACTCGGGGTCCCTTCTAAAGTTAATAACGTCAGTTCTGTGGTGTTAATCACATCCTCGCTTAAATAAAGTTATCTATGAAGTTAAGTTACTTTCATTCCCGAAGTAAATCCTCTGAGGTGTGAAGGCCAGACTCGTAAACTTCTTCCTGGAGTATCGGCAGTAAAATGGCAGTTTTATATTATGTGAACGAGTAACCACACCATCGATTATCAGGGCGTCGGCCAGGACCTCATTCCAAAAGATTAAGTAGTCTTCGGTTTCGTTTCGCTGCGTCCCACAACTATCTAAAGAGGTGCTGATCAAGAAGTGGGTGGAATTCTCGGTGGCTTTGCATGAGGCATAACGCAAGCGTAGTTGATTGACTGTAAAGTAGTGGAATCTTTCCTTTCCAAGAGAGACCATCATACTGTTCTCCCCACACGTAACCCTTGCAGCTTGGTCTAAAATGTGAGAGCAGGTTTACAAACTTGAGGATAATTTCAAAATTTTGTTTAGAGGTTTGCTGTAGCGGACAGAAGAAATAAATACCTGAACAGTTAAAAACTCGTCACGGATGTCTGACATGTTTTTTTTTTCATAATCGTACTCAAAATTTGCCATCCAAGTTACTTCCAAATAAGACACTTTCGAAATTTGTAATCCTAGGTAACGTGCTCACCCTACTTTGGCTGGTGGAACATCTGACCGCCGAATATTTTTTACACATTTCGGGTCACACTAGCTATTACTCACCAACACAGGTCAAATTGTTTCTCCCCATCATTAATCCTTCAGTACATCCGCAGTAAAATGTTCCAGGTATGTTGAAGCACTGATGACTGCAGCCACCATTATTGATGGTACATTCGTTGATATCTAAAAAAAAAAAAGCCCACTCCATCTTTCAGTTTGATAACACTGCATGGTAACTAAGCGTCCGAGTTGTTTGCCATTTTAATCATTAGCTAAAATTAGGTGTGTACATTATTTGCTGTTTCCAAAACAGTTCCACTAATCTTCTTCTACGAGAGTGATCAAAATAAGTGTTACTCTAAAAGACTGGTACTTATTGGATCGTCGTTTTTGTTTGTGGAGAGAGCGATATGAATACGAGTAACAGACTCTAGCCGATTATGATTATTAGTCAATATTTCTCATGTTTCTCACCTGTACAAGACTTCCCGTTCGACTGCAGCTGAAATCCCCTTTGACAGGAACAGCTGTAATTTCCGGGAGTGTTGTCACAGTCCTGATCACAACCTGCGGGTAACGTGAACTCCGGAAAAATATTTGACGGACCTGAAGCGTTCCAATGTACAGAACAAGAAAATTCTAGCAGATCGGTAATCATAAGCAAATTGCGACAATAACGTTAAACAATTTTTCCAGCCTTTTACGACAGTGTGTCTGTCGTTATTGCTGTTATAGTAACCTGAAGATGCAGACACTCACCTCTGGAACCAGAGTAGGCACATTCATCTACATCTTAAAGGCGAAAAAAAGGAAACCATTACTTAATGCCGCATTCTGAAAGATTCGTGCAAACGAAGAGGACGGGTGCATAGGTGTTATAGACCAATCACACGACGGGAAAAAGATGGGTGAATGCATGAATGACTAGAGGACCAAGGTGTACGAGTGGAGGGACGGACCGACAGTTTGAGGACGGATGAAAAGAAAGAAAGACGAATAGATGGGAATTATTTTGGGGAAATGTGTGCTCAGAATCTTCCAGAAGCTAGTTCCACACTCCACGTTAAGTGTCGTGGGAAGGACATAAAGGCCGAGGCGCCAACACAGCCATATGATAAAATTAAATCAAATCCTCAAAACCTCTTTGATGAAGATTTTCTAAATAGATTGTTGAGTGCGCCATTTCATTTAAGGTTCTGTTTTCAGGAATTCTGAAAATCTAAAATTTTTGCGTACCAACACAGCTTTGGAAGTCAGGTGAGCGAAGAGAATATCCAGAAGAACAAACGCCATCTACGTAGAATCTCCAGGCATTCGAGGATGATATTCCGGGTGTGGGTGTACCGCCAGAGGCACAGCCCTGTCCAACAACTACTCCTTTATCTATCAGGATTGCATATAATCCATCCATGCTCAACACAGGATGCGGAATCGCAAAATGCAGTGTGGTTGAATTACTACCAATTGTCACGTTTTGAGAGAGTGCGTCCACTTTGTAGACAGTTTGTCCACTGGGCAGCAAGACGAGTCTTATGTAAGACGATGTTCGAGGTTTCTTTATCTGCAGGAAATGAAAAGCATTCTCATCATAAAACAGATTTATTATCAAACACAATGGGGAGTGCATCAATGTATTTTTTGCTGTGTCGTTTATTTGGACATTATGGATTTTGAAAAAAATCGAATTGAATAGTGTTGGAATTTCCGTAGGGTGTCGCATCGCCGTTTCTAGGACTCTGCAAGGAAATTTTGGATACTTTGCCACGAGAAAAACTGGATAATCTTGCAAAAAAACAACAGAAGAAGGACGAGAACCAACCACTAAATTCACTCACAAATGAAACCACTAATACGGTAATAATCGGGGGCAGAGCCCTTGGAGGTGTGAGATCTTACATATGAACCATCACAGCTTCCTTTATCTGAGGAGCCGTACATATAAACAGATTTCATACTTTGCTGTGTATGTTCAATGACTTCATGTAATAAGTAATGTCGAAATTTAATGTGAGAACATGAGATCTGATGAGTACCAGCAAAAGAAACTATCCCTTGTCGGTGGTACCCAACAGTTAAGATAAATCAGACGAAAACTTCGTCGCTTTTCCTCTATATTTGAGTGTAATTGACACCCATCTTGATTCACAAGCTACACCTGACATTATTATTCAATTTTTTTTTTTTTTAGAGGGCACGGTAACGAATCCTGCAATCTGATTGGTTCTTTACCCGGTCAGTATTTTCCTATCTCTGGCCACGGTAACGCTTTCGCGAGTCGCCGAGTACATCTCAACTTTCGTCGCCATTTTTCATAAATATACCTCGTTTTGCCCGCTGGGCAATATTTTTAAGCAAACACATCGGTCACTACCTCAACCCGACTTATGAATCCTCTCTTTTCTCTCTCTCAAATCACTTTAGTTGACAAAAAAATATTGGTTTCAGAATGAATTTGTATTGGCAATAGTGTCATTACGTTGGTTGACAAGCGGCCTAAAAACCGTCTGCAATTAATTTTAATCATTCACAAAAAGTACCTAGAAAGTTAAACCGTGAGGTATTTGGTTACAGGTAAACTGAACAATGGAACTTTCATTCATTTAGTGTCTGAATTTTCTCAAACAATTTGTTCGTAGTGAAACAGCGGGAAGTTTTAATTTCTGTTCGACAATAAATATACGCTCTCGGTGAGTCTTTCAAAGTCCGTTCAATTTGACATTTGGACCATAAATTGCACAACAGAAACTGCATTAAATCCCCTTGTGTCTCGTTGGAGTGTGCCGTTCGAATTTAGTTTTTGTGGAGGAAAGACCAGATTTGCATACGCCGTTGCAGCAAACAAACGAGCAAACTCTCACAACTTCAAAATAAAAATTTGAATTTACTCACAATTACTTTCCGGGCCGTTTACTTAATGAACAGAGGTAAATCTTCGTACATGAATAAATCGTCGATGAGAGTGAATAATACTTTCCGTTCTATCATTGATTGTTTTTGAAGAAAACATTGTCGCGACAGTCCTTGCCAAACTAGCTCCGTTGTTTTTCAAATCTTCTTGCGCTTTTTTTTTCTTACGCGCTCGCTAATTGACAGGTGTCAGATTGTGACAGATACTTGTAAAAATAATGTTTCAAACTTTGTTTGGAAGCCTTTTAAATCACCTTTATCATTATGCAAGTGAAAATGTTTCAGTGAAGCATCTCTCTTTAATTTGTATCACCTTTACTTTAACTACCATTTACTCGCTCAAAAATTGTTCAGTTTATGGAAGATCTTGCCGTATTTATAGCCCTAAATCATTCGGGTTCTTTCAGAATGTATTTCGTTAAGTTTAAAAAAAAAATATATGTTATTTACCGGCTAAGGGTCGGTCCGTATGGTGAAAAACTGTGACCTCGGCCTTGAAAATGCTGCCCTCGGCCTACGGCCTCGGGCAGCATTTTCAAGACCTCGGTCACAGTTTTTCACCATACGGACCTCCCAGCCGGCAAATAACATATATATCTATGCTATCGCACAGAAAACAACTGCGATTTCGAGGACAATAGTTGTTAACCACCGATTTTAATTTCCGCAGGAAGCCAACCACCTTGCCATGCGGGGAGCCCCAAATAGAAAAAAACTTAGACTCTACGAAAAACGCGGGAGAGGACACGACAAGCTCCCTTTGTTTAAAATATCTCAAAAAGTCATAATAAAGCCAATGACAACCTGGACAGTTTTTCTCCTCGCTAATGAATCATACGTAAAAAAAATTATATAAAAAAGCAAGGCTAATATTGTGGGTTATGAATTTGCTAAGAGCATAAAACATAATGTGAAATGTTCTCCAAAGATGCGCGAAAATATGGCCAAATGTGACCAAACTCAATCAGATGAAAGTGACAAATAAATAAGCACCCAAAAAGGTTTCATTGGAAAAAGAGCTTGACCTCAAATGCTTTTGATAACTGTGTCTTGATACTCTAAAATAATAGCAAATAGCACGAAGTTTACAAATTTGTTGTCCCTACCAATCGGTCAAACTGAACGCTCCAGTTGGAATAACCTGATCCATATCTGCTCACGGGTGTTATGGGTATGCGACTTGCTAAAGTGACTCGCGGAGTACTGCCTGGAAATGGTTGTTGATCATTAATTGTTGAACCTCTATTTGTGCTTAGAAATACCAATGACATAATCCTTCATGCGGTAGTTCCTTATCACTTTTGCATAATACTGCTACTCTGCCTATAAGCCGACTCCTGTGGGAAAGCGGCTCAAAATGTCATTTGTTTTCTTTCCATTCTCAGTGAGATAGTAGGACGTCATTGGTGCACCAACAATCTAAATGGCAATTACATCGGTAGACCCCACGAAAAGGAAACCTTTTCAAGCCTTCAAATATTACACCAATCCCATATTTACTGATTTACAAGCCAGTTCTGACTTTTACTTTTTCTTTTTGATGAAAGTCAACAGGTAACCGAATTCACCTGTCTCAGTAGCAGATTTCTAACTGATGTACTAACTATTACTGCGACGCAACATGAATTATTAATCTAGTCAGACTATCATTTCGGTTCTTGAAAAGGAAAAGTGTTTAATCTCCTTACTCATGCCAACGAGAATTGTCACACATCGCCAGTCACTTTCCAGTCTGAAAAAGAAAAGACATCACATAAGGATAGCAAATAAATAAATAACATAGATAAATAAGTAGAAAAATGTAAACGATTGAGTTGTTGTAGGATAATTTTTAGAAAACGAAGAAATTCTACGTTTCGACAGTAAAGCCATACACTAACCGCTACCTACGCTTCGTTACACACACACACACACATACACGCACACGCATATCCATGGAAAACCTATGTTCCAGTGAGTCTCCGATTTCACTCATTGAGCGCATGAAGCGATGGGGACAAGTAAATATCTGCTGCTAATGACCTATGGTCATATCAGTTGCAATCAGGCTTAAAAGTAAGATCCAAGTCATTAATCAAAATAATTGGGAAACTGTCCTCACAAACTTTAATGATAAGATCCCTAGAACATAATGTTAAGATACTTTATAAAACGAAAATTCCTCTGGTATCCCCCCTTAAAATACTGAATCTAGCTATTAACCATAGTCGAGCCATTTCTCTGGTAATAATGTACAGAACACCTTAGCTTCTTACGCGGCAGAGTGAAAAACGCGAATGACCTACCAATTCTGTAAACCGCCTAAACTATAATATTTGGAGTTCATGACCATGCCACCTGCAATTCTTACCCAGCAGAGTCGCGGGCCTTAAAACAGAACAACTGCTGTCCAATTTGATTTTGACTGGGGTACCATGTGACATTTCGGTAGTAGATTTGTCCATGATTGCGCAAAGATGTAAGTTGCATTCCACTTGGAGATGCAGTGCTTATTTCCACAATGCTGAGATGATTGAATAGAATAACGTTATAGTTATCATAGATGATAATGACGTTAAATGCCAAGAAATTTTCAGGTTCCATACTAGAAATTATAACTTGTTGCGTTACCAATTTCACTAGAGTAGATGACGGTTTGCGGAAAACCGTGGAAGCGTTAATTGATTCTTGTTTTCCGTTCTCATAGAAATTCTTTATCATTTTAACGACCTGAATGGAATAGTATACCAAGAATTTATATAGTAGCTTATAAAAACACACTTCAACGGTGGTCATTATTTATGGGAGATTGTTATCTATATGTTTATGAGGATCTTAAAAGATGGGGATTTGCGTCTCTTTAGTGGAAAAATATCGAAAGAAGAAAATAATCAAGGGCAAGTTGTTTAGTTTACATACGATTTTGAGAAGTCTGCAACCTGTACTTCGATCACTGCTCCATATGCAGAGGCAATAGGGACATCGGAACATTCGCCATCTTTTGGGGTGGATGCTGTAAAGACGGGCTTTTCGTCACAATGGCCAGTATGGTTACTAATCACCATGGCCAGAAACTGTAATGGGATACTGCTGAACGGTGTAACGCTACCGAAGTTTGTAGTCCCCGATGGAAAGTCTTCTAAGGTTAATGCGACTACAAACATTCCGCCAACTGCTGCTTGCGACCCATTGTATGTTAGAACGCAAGCTTTCTGCAAGGGAAATGGATAACACCTGATACTATCCTTTTGAGTTCGCTGAATGATGCACATATTCCTTTTCTTAAGGAGACGTATTCCCGGAGCATTGCACGCACTTAAGCTCCTGACATACTTTGTTCAAAGACCGTGTCGACAAGCAATTATAGAATATAAAAATACATCGCTATGTTTATCTATTACTTGCAAAAGTACATGACATCAAACATGATAAAAAGTAGATTAATGTTTCATGATTTTCTGCAGTGGTGATTTCCTTAGGAAACTCAACGCTTCTTTTTTGGAAAATTGGCACCATACATTTTTTTTCGGAACGTCTAGACGTCAAACCAAAATTTTTACGCAATGTACTACATTCTGAGAGTATTTTAATTAGCGGTCACTCCTGCTTTTAATTACCTCATCCAATTCACCGTAAGGAAAACTTGCATTGACTATGACGGACTCCGAATGAGTCGCAGAGCGACATTTCACTATATCGCCATCTGGGTCTTCAACTGGAATTCGAAATGACTGACGACAACCTCCTGGAAATCGAACAATGGCTGGACTTCGAGTTACAGGAGATGAGTTAATTTTTCCGTTATCCGATCGTGGAGCGAGGTTTATTGCAGTTTCTACTTTCCAATCTGTGGAACCGGCGTAATGACTGAGAGAAATCCAACAGCAACCTGAAAAACTTGAAGTAAAAGGGAAAATAGAAAAAGTTGTAGTGAACTTCCTCCTGTTTTTATGACTTTTTCTTATGTTAACCGAACCTCATATGTAAAAAATAAGCCCTGGAGTTGTCGTGATTTTTGCTGCAATCATCTGCAATCATCTTGAAACTGGTGTTCAACATTGATAAGTTCGAAATCATGCCGAGCAAATAATAGAGAGCACTACATCAGAACGCGAAACAGAAAAAAAAAAACAGAAATAAAAATAAGAAAAAAACAAACAACCAAACAAGGGAAAGGAGTGCGTATTTGAGTAATCCAACGAGATTTTCCCGGTTACTAATGAAACTTTTCATTTCACTGCAACCTCTGAAAATTTCAATGCAATCCAGGCCTTAAATTTTTCATCTGCTTTCCACTTTCCGTGAAAGACACACTTCCCCATCATCATGAAGCGAAAGAACAGCCAGAGAAGAACAACTGTTAGTGCATGAACGCGAACAAACATTGCCTCCTTCGCTCAACTAACGCAGGAAACAAATAAACCATGATGCATTGCGAACACAATGAACCATAATACAATGCAGGGCATTGGAGACTGGGCTCTCGGACTCTCATTCTCCGACCGTACCGCCTCTTATTATGAAGTGTTTTGCCGTTTGCCAAGTTAATTCAAGTGAAATCAGCTACATTGCAAAGATTTCAGCTAGCTTTTAAACACCTGCTGCTCCTTGAGAGAAATTCCAGACTTAATCCCATTTTTCAAGACTTTGCCTTTAATTTCCATACTTTTTCCAGGTCTGGAAAAGTAGTTCGCAAATTTTCAGACTTTTTCAAGAATTCAAGACTTTGTACGAACCCTGTGAAATACACACTTCTCGTATTTTGTCCAGTAACGGTTTGTAAGATGTTATGACATTCTAAAGGGGTCAAAAAGTTTGGTACAGCGCTAACATTCTTCCCGTGACCTAAAAACAATCTGACAGCTTAATTGCTTGATGAAATATTCACTTTTCTGATGTCATTTAATGATCAGTTTTCATTTTCACTGTAATGATCATTGTCCTTTTTTTTTTGGTCCCCGTTGTATTGTCACTTAAACCCACTATGAGAACGTTGGCTAAAAATTGCAAGGATTTTTTCAGTTGTGGACCTCGCTGTTCCAAAAACTTGTCATCTGACAAACTAAATTGACAAATTGAAGTCCTATATCGAGAACATGATCTGGCCTCTAAGGGTGTCTTCAGATCGAGTCCTCAAAGCACATGCTTCTCTCACATGCATCTCAGACGGCGAATGAGCACAGTGTGATGAGAAAATACGACAGCAAGAAGCTTAACAGAAGTTTCCTTTTGCTCAGTTCTGAAGATGTAAGAAAACATACCTCACGTGCCACTGCTTTTCGCTGTCATTGAAAGTGTAAGTGAAGTTATTTTCGCCCACTGTCCAATCTTCCGACACACTATAATCAGTGCAGTAGAAGTTGATGTTTGAAATGGCAAGCGGAGACCCACACAGTGAATTAGACGAATTGTCACATCTTGCTTCCCATAAGCCTCCGTAATTAATAAGTTGGTGGCTGCTAATCATGTTTTGGTCACACTTAAGACTATGACTGCTTGATCGTCTCCAACCGATACGAAATGAAAAGTGTACCTGAGAATAGAAAGGCAGATTACATCAAGTTTGCCCGCTGATACACAGGGTAGATGAAATGGAATCGTCGTTTCCGAGGTTTAACCATGTTTGTTTTTAATTTCGGCGTTGGATAGCTCGAGCAAAGTGTTAAGCCGGGTCGGCTCGTAATTTCCTTGACAATTCCCTTCTCTAAACACCACTTTTTCCAAACCGACAACCAAAAAGCAGTGATTTTTACAGTGTTTTCGTTGTTTGAGCTGTTTTTCAGCTGCGGTGACGAAAGAAAACCGCCGGCCATTATTTCACTCGCAAATTTTCATTTTCTTAAAGGGCATGGATACCCAAAAATACATGTTTTACCTTTACTATGTAAAAAGCGGCATAGAAAACGAATTTGTGATTTTTTTTTTGGTCCAATTCGACTTATTTCAGGAAGAAAGTAGGCATTTTTTACTGAAATTCCGCTTCAGGTAAAGACAGTAGCGAGAGGTCGTTACGTAAGCGGTGGAACTAAAATATTGCGAAATACGTATTCCGCAGTAGAACTGATTGGTATGGCGGCAGCTCGTGCGAGAAACAGTAGTTCGGACGATGTTTTTTCAGAAGAAAGTGACTTGAATACCTTAATGTATATGACAACGATGGGTATAACTCAGAATCTTTAGGAGAGTCTAGGCCACGTCCTTAAAATATGAGCCGCGTGGGGTTCACCGAAACCATCCGCAAGAAGACAGCATGGAACCGGTTGACGGCAGTGCTGATCGTCTAGGAAACTCAGACTGGTATTTAATTCACTGTATGATTTATTTGTATTTGACATGAATATCCAATAAGGCAAGGAAACAATCTAAAAGGATGTAATAGAAATTTTTTAACCTGAGCTTCCGAGGGTGTTTATATACAATTATCAAAGGTGCGAGTGTGGAACTTTCAACCAATGCTGAATACACATGATAGTATTTGTTGTACGGAAATCGTGCAATTGTGGCAAAAGGAGAGGAACAAAGGCCTGAAACCCAGATGAGTGTTCCTGCCAGGGAAGAAGAGAAAAACATTGTCTACACACAGCTTGTTCGTTGGCGCCGGGATTATCTCGGCAAACATGTCAGGGTCGCTCTGCCAATCTTGTGCGGTAAACGAAATCGGAAACACTTTTCCAGCGGATTTTGTAATGTCTTACACTGGATTAAAACCGCCTAGTCTTTGAGAGAAATAAAGGTACATGTTAATGCAGATCATATTTATTTATGTCTTACAGCAATAGGGGTTGCGCCTGTTTGTTAGGAGATATTTATGTATTGCTTTCCTTCATCTTCGAAGCATTTTCATTGCTGAGCAAGTTGTAACGTGTACATTTCTTTGTGTGGCCTGCATAATTATCGAACCCCGTTTGCACTTGCTTCGATTGGAATTACCGAAAAAAATCTGCAGGCTTAAATCGGAATCTTTTGATCTATATTCAAATAAAAAAAAAATTTTGTCCTTTTGATTTTTGAATGTACTTTCACTGCTGTGAGAATCGAGACACAACTCTTCAACTGCTGTTTCTCTGCAGGGTTTCTCAAAGGAAGCAGCAAGTGGGGTTGGCATGGACTCCCTCATAGAACATAAGAGTTGATTATAGGATCATTTATAGAATTCTTTCTATCGAACCAACAAAATTCCACACCAAATTAAATACCGACATCAACGAATTCTCTATCTTTAATGCGTGTTTCGAACTCATGCAAAGGTTCAGACAGGTCAGTGTCTTTATCATGTTTTACGGGATCAGCGCTGGCTCCCGAACAATTGGCTTCGCCATAATCTTTCAATAGATGAGAAAGGTGTTTTAAAAGAACCGACAAAGCTATAGTTATTTAATTTTCGTAAGGTTTCCGTGTAAATCAATTTTGTATCTACTCTGTTGACCACTACACTTTATACACTACAGTCTATTTCCACCTTTACAAACTGGAAATAGACTTTTGAGAAAAAACGAATGGTGCTTTTCGTATATTTGATACATTTACTAAACAGCTATGTCAAAAAAAAGTACATTTTTTGGGTTTACATACCCTTTAGATCTACGAAAAAAGACTTTGTTTGAAAATGTTGTCTCGGCACAACACGACTACGTGTTGAATTGGAATAGTTAATATTCGGGAAATTTCCGAACTAATGAGCTGTTTCTACACTAATTTTTTTTCAGTAGTATCCTCTCTTAAATTACAGATCATCTCATGTGTATTACGGAAATTATGCATGACTCATTTGTTCCACCGTCCCTTTCAAACCTGAATTGAACATTGAATTGAACTATTGCTGAGATATTCCTTTATACTTAAAGGGGTGTATGCTAAGAGTAAGTCAAATGATATATGACTTTAAATGTGGCGCTATTGCTGAAACTATTAATCGATCTCCAAGAAACGTGCAGCATCACCTGCAATTGAATGTTTTTAGAAAAGCGACACAGCTAAATTTCCGTGTATGTGAGTGGGTAGAGGCGTTCGAGAAATTACCACTCTTGCAATAAAAACTGAACTTCTGGGCCGTTGAAAGCTGATAGTGAAATGTCTAAAACTGAAAAAGTTCGTCAACAAAACACGAACATACCATCCAAAAGCAGAGAGAATCAAGATATCGGGCCAAATTGCGCATCTGATCAAAATTTTCAAAATTAATTGATAAGTTTTTAAAAGCTAAATTTTCCGACTCATTAACCTATTTAGGTCTATTTACCTCCCTATATTAGTAGAAGTTGGTATTAGTGAACACCTTCAGTGGTAGGTAAATATGCGAACAGGTACCATCTTGTATATGCTGGGTTCGAATCAACTTAAATTTAGTACTTGAAATACTAGATCACTTTCTGCCGTAGAGTAAGTTTAAAACTGTTTTTAAAGAATTACTAAGCTCTATACCGTGTTGCTGTTAGAATCGTCTGGAACCCACATTATACTGCCGTGTCGAAAGTGCGATGCTTCTGTCAATGTGCCAAGAGCCAAAAAAGCGAAGACCCATCCCGCGGGAAGCCACCTGACCATTTTGTTGCTCGCAGGTTTCGACTCAAACTGAAAATAGAAATGCTCGGTGCGTTTAGTGCATTTTGTACTGCTCGTACTGTGTCGTGTAGTCAATAGGCTCTTTGAAGGACATGATCACGTGCTTGGATACACATAGCAAGGCAGTGCATCACGCTCCTTGAGGCGTCAACTCAAGCGGAGCCAACCACAGGTGGCCCGAGCTCCAGCTGTGAAATGATCATCTTTAAGAGTCATGGCGAAATTTTAAGACTTTGTAAAGGAATATTTGAGACCTCTCTCAGGGATAAAAAAATACAGTCGAATTCCCAATAAAAATACCAAGCTCCAGCTGTGAGATGATCGTCTTGCAAAATAAGAGTCATGGCGAAATTACAAAAGTTTGTATGAGAATATTAACGACCGCTCTTAAGATTAAAAAAAAAAGTCAAATTCTCAATAGAAATACCTCATCTTACTTCCACAATGAAAAGAACCCATTTTAGTGAGTTATCCATTTCTAGGTTTACCACTTACATAAGAGAAGCGCTTCTCTTATGATCATCTCACAACACATGTTGAGTTTGCCTTGATTCAAGATGAAACATTTGTGTGAAAGGCGAGAATTTTGGCGCCGATCTGTATTTATTGACGCGTCTCTTTTCCCGCAATTTTTACAACCCCATGGTGTATTTTAATTGGGAAAAATTTCTATGTATGGAATGTACTTAAGTTTTAAAAACATAAAAGTCATTCAGTTTCCTTTTCGCGTTCTATTATTAAATAGTAAAATGTAAGTCCAGAACAATTTTTTCCAGTGTCCTAATCTGAATTTGGTCAAAAATGCGCTGTCTCCTAAGCGCCTTTCAGCAAATGCTTAACTCTAAAGGAAACAGTGAAGGCTCAGTGACTACTTTGGGCGAAATTTTACGTTTATACTCAGGACTTAACGAAAACATTCTGATGAAAGTTGCTTTGCCAGTGTGCCTTCAGTCTGTGTACTAAGGGATTAGGCCCACTTTTCCTTCCTTGCTGATTGTCAACCTCTCAGTCGATTATCAAGTTGTAGTTAAAGAGCAGTTTAGAAGTTATTATTCAACTAAATGTTTCACAATTCGGACTCCCACGCTCATAAGTTATTAATTTAGTACCTTCATTTCCTCATTTTATTTTGCATTTTCTTCACATCAGAGGGAACTAAACGACGCCCATCAACCACGGTGCTTAGTATAAACCACATGATTGTGGTCAGCTATATACCTGCAACATTTGTCTGAAAACCGCACAGAGCTGTGATGTACGTTGCGCAAAATATTTGGAACGAGGAAGACTTTCAGGAAACTTTCCATTCTGAGATTGACCTATGTTTTGAAACAGATTGCAATTCAGCGAATAGCATGTGCCATAACATCGTGTTGTGAGTTCACATCTCATGATTAGTTTGTCAAAATTATGAAAGTCGAATGTATTATCATAACCGTTGGAATGTTGAAGCCTATTCGCCTTGAGGGATCTTGTGTTTGACAAAGCAAAACATGCACAGTCTCATTTAACACTCCAAAAACCCTCCGAGTGGAAACCACAAAAATTTATCTGATTAATTGGTTTCTAATCATGGTCATCTCAACGCCTGACGTATTCCAGTTGTATTCACTCAGCTGAATCTCCTCTATCGGATTCGCAAAGGTAAATTCAGTATTTTAATTAACAGAGTCTCACGTCTTTCAGCTTTTATGGCCTCTACATGCCATTTTTAAATACTTTTTTGTTGCTCGTCGTGGTTACCAACCCGTTTGCAAAATGTTCTGCTACCGAAAATAAAGGAGCCATCAACGAAGAGATCGTATGGTATTATGGGCAATGTTAGCAAATAAGTATTTTTTTATGTAACGAGTGATTTACTTTCCTCATCCTTTGCGCCAAACAATGTTATAATCATCGAAAAATTTAACAAGAATTGAATGATTCTTTTCTTCTGGAAAACTTGGAAAGTTTCCGTCATTCATCGCTTTCCACAGATTTTGTTTCACGCCTGTTGCAAGAGGTCAAATATCCCGAGAATTGAAATTCGTATATTTAGATGGGTCTACTATATGTACATGAAGCTTTCATTTAGAATTAATGCTTAAGCGTGGAAAAACGTTTTTGTAGTCATTTGTATTAATGATCAATAGTAATGACAAGTCAGTTGGACCGTCCAGATCGTTATCTAGGATTCGAAATGAGGCTATCAGAGAATTCCATACTGGGTAGTTTAATTTTACAAATTTTGAATACACCTTAATCATTAACTCTTTATCTTAAGTCGTGAGATTGGAGCATTTATTGCGCATCAGAATGTTGATAAGAAACAAGATATTGCGCTATGCCCTTAATTGGGTACTGCATTAATATCTTGCCCAAAAAAACACATTACAAATTGTCTTTCTGCGGAAAAAAGCGTAGCTCAGGATAAGGAAGGCAAACTAATAAAAACAAAATTGATGTCTCCACTAGACTACGCAGTCATTATCTTATATTTCATTATTTAAATTTGAGAGGTAAAAGCGCTGCACTTATCTTTCCCTGTTTTCAAGTGCACATGAATCGTACATGAATTGTGAAAACGCCGAGAAAATGGAATAAGAGAAAGAAAACCAAAAACATCGCAAAGTGATTGTAATAAATTCAAGCATTCCACTTCTCTGGTTTGCCATAAAAAACGAAAATGAACCTTTTCTTACATTTTTTTCCTCCGTTTTTGAATTTTCAAAGGTTTGAAATTAGTTTTCGAACGGTTAGGTCACAGCATGGAATCCAAAAAGGTGGCAAGTTGTATATTTACTTTTTAATGGCGGGGGAAAGCTTATCATATCTGGAGTATACTTGTTAAAGTGATGAAGTTTTTACACAATGCTGGTATGGAATTTTATTATTTCACAAAGCCAACAAATAACACACGCTATAATTGAAACCGTTAAAAGTTATGTTTGATAGTGTAGATAAGTAAATGTATATGAGCTTTACATATGCAACCAGGTGCCAACCAATATGTACTGCAAAACTAGTAGAGACATTTCAAGATGCATTCCAAAAAAAAAATCTGTGAAGATGATTCTAAAGGCATTCGCTCTATGACATAAAAACATGAAAATAAAGATAGACCCTCCGTAAGAGAAACAAACAAGAGATAAATCTCAATGCCAACGTTTTGAAGAAGAAATATATCAACACCATTGTTTTTAAGCGAAATTCGACTTAATTATTGCCTCCCATTGTGATCACATCATCCTCCGGCATGTAAGCAGCATTGTTTTGTCCCGCTGGCTCGTCCTTGTTGCTGTTCGGAAACCGTTGCGTCCTGCGATACTTGACAAACAAAACAGCCAGAGCTACAACTGCAAACAGTCCAAATACTCCAGCGCCTGCTACACCACCGATCAGAGCTGTATGCATACCCTGCTTGGGCTCTGCAAAGACAAACAAGAATTAGTTACATTCCTCGAAGAATACTTACGTCGTAGCCTCAGAACAGTGAAAGTTTCGGTCAGCGCCGAGAATCGAGAGCTCTAGGAATAGAGTTTTGGTCAAGAGTCAACCTTTGAAAAAAATGGTTACAGAAAGGTGAAAGGGTCTGTTTACAAATGAAGACAAAAAAGTATATCAAAACAACCATAACATTTCGATGTACAGACACACTACATTAACGAATGCTTATTTCTAAAACCTACCTTTGGATTCTTCTTCTTTGGCCCCCTCGAACAATACAGGTCCACCTGTCAGAATGACTTTGTTGGTGCTTTCTTCTTGCTCTGTCCCATCTCGTACTACGTCTCTCCTCTTTCTCTTGTTCTTTATACAGCCCTTACTACATCTGCAAAAAGTCAGTTGGGTTTTGAGTTACAAAGGACTGTGACATGGACGAGAAATACAGGCTAATGATCGAGAATACATTCCCTTTCTAACAGTCGCTGATCATGATACAATGAGCAAAAACGCGAAAAAGCGTGACCCATTTTTCCATTTTTTCATTTCTCTCTGAAAGTCGTGCAAACCATCGATGTCGAATATAATTGTTAAAATGAACCTAGCAATGCCCTGGGGTCTTTAGGGCTCAGTGGTAGAGTATCGAAGCTCGAAGGTCCGAGTTTCCGGACTTTTAACGTTGACTTTCGCGAAAAGACGAAAAAATTTCTTGTGTTCATAATCGTGATACGTAGACGGCATGGTTTATGGTAGTTATTTGTCGTGTACTCCAGAACGAAGGGTCCAGGTTCAAGACCTAGTAGGCGCATTGGTTCGTCTTCTTTTTGCATTGTCTACCTTGATCAAGGGGCTTTAGCCGCTATGGGTAAGTGGGTCCGAAATACTAGTTAGTACCCCATGCAGGTGGCATAGCAATACCACTGATCCTCCATTGCTTTAAAAAAATGGAAAATGGAATGACACATTTGGCGACACCTGGCAGTCTAACAAAATAAACCAACTCTCTAGAATTTTAATACAGGGTCATTTTTCCGATTTCGCTTGTTTGCAATGCAACTGAAATCTCTGAAACCAACCTGGAATTAGGAGAATTCCGGTGACAGGCCAGCAATTCACAATGGAAGTACACAGTGCCATAGTCGTTCCAAAATCGGAGAGTTTTGATTTTAAACTGTTGGTATTGTCGGGTTGGATCATAACTGTAGTCAAGTGTTGAATCTTTGGGGCATCTTATAGTTAAAGACAATAATTAAAACAAGATCGAATGAATTAAATGGATATCCGTGTAAATATTAGAGCATCAATTTAAACTAATTCAGAGAGAAAGATGGCCCTATCATTGAGACTGTTATGACTGTTAAGGCCTTTTTAGTAACTGTTGACACCAAATAGACGGTCCTTATCACAGCTTTTAATATCTTGTTTCAACAATGTAATCAAGTAAAATGATTCAAATTACAGGAGGCAACAAATTTCATCGAGCTTGCACAACAAGGCAAGCGGAAGGTAGTGCGCGACGAACTCCCCTCAGGATTTCTCGCCTCCCACGGATTTCTCGCCCCTCGCGCTCCCGGATTTCTCGCCTCCCGCTCATCTCCGCGCGCCTGAAAATCACAAAGAAGACAAGGCGTTTTCTGCAGTCTTAGCCTAGCTAAATGTATTAGATCAGTTACTGGCTATGCTTGATCACGGCACAATGATAAACTAACCCGTTTTGAAGAAAGGTGTATTGTGGCCAAGAATAAAAGCTTGCGTCTTTAGTAGCCTTACAGTTCTCAGCCATAATGACCAGGTCAGCTGAGGACGCCACACTGTACCGTAAATAAACATATTCATTAAGATCCACCGTTAGAGGGTAGTCCTGCGTTGTGTAGGGCGTGGCAAACGAAGAACTCTTATAAAAGTCCATCTTGAAGGTGAAGGTACCATATCCCGCTAAAAAATGAGGAAAAAGCAGGAAAAAGAGAATCAAGTAAAATTCTTTCTTTTTTTTGATCACTACATGCGGTCAAATAGATCATCCGTAAGGTTAATTGTTCATCCGACCGCACTGAATGCAAACAAGCCAGAATTGCAGAGGTCTCAAGTTCAATTGGACTATAGCCGTGGTTCCTATCCTCTATTGCATCTTGCAAAAACCCAGCATTCAGATTTTGAGCACTTCACCTCAAGGAGAAATTTTCAATTGAGTGTCGAAATTCATCCTGGTTTTAATGGTTTTCCTTTGCTTCTCTCTGTCACTGGTTTCAAATACAAATGCCACCCCTTGGCCTGGCGACACTCCATCGAAAAGAACTTTATCTGCATCTACTTTAGTACCCCGAGATAGTTGGCTTTTGTGGAAGACGAGGTAGTCTAATGTCTGGAAACTGGATAGAAAGGTCTGATAATCAGCCCTGTCAATGCAATATTGCGAGGCAGGACACCTAGCTCCCTCAGTGCTCCTCCTCCACCCAGGAATACAAACGGGTACCGGCAAACTTGCCGAGAAGCCTGATGAAATTCCGAGGGATATTATTTGTAATTTACCTACATTTCGTCCGGTTCCGTTTTGTGTTTCATGCCAATTTATAATAGTAATAGGACTGAATGGAGACCAATTCGGTCTGTAATCGTACGAGTGATTGACAAAATCGGGCGACCTCGAAGCGGGATTTTGATTTGTTGATCATGAGTATGACTACAGACAGAATTGGACGACACGAAGTTATTTTACCAATTAATCAAAACTATAACAAAATTAGAGAAAGAAAACAGGCATCACTCATACGTTTTTACACACAAAAAAAAACTCTATGAAATGCGCGCTAACAGGGCGCGCATATGACGCGTACTGTCCACCTACCAGCAGGTATGATGTGTCAACTGTCTTATTACACTGTGCAATTACAAGCATGACTTGTAATCCTATTACGCACGTCTGATTGGCTGAAAACGAGTGCATTTTTCATGTAACACGAGTACAAAGACAAAGTTGTAACACGAGTGCCAATTGCAAATAGCGTGCGCGCTGCCAAGATTTCGTCCGTCTTCATGTAAATTATTAACAAGTAACATGATCTGGAGTGCAATTTGGTGTTAATAAGCACTTATAAATTTTTCAAAGACTTGTCTTTGCAAAATTTACACGTGCTTGCTAACACCAAATTGCACTCGTAATCATGCTGTTACCTATACAAATCGGGCTGGTTTTAACCAATCACGTTCAAGAATTTTGTTCTAGTTTTGATTAGACCAAAATAAGCCCTAGCCCCAGCTAAACCTTAACCAACTAACTCTGACTAAGACATCGAAGCCTAAATAAACTTATCTATTTCGTTTCATTTGAGTTACTTTCATTCCCGACGTAAATCCTCCGAGGTGTGAAGGCCAGGCTCAGTAGCTTCTTTCGGGAGTATCGGCAGTAAAATGGCAGTTTTATATCATGTGAACGAGTAACCACATTATCAATGATCAGAGCTGCTGCATGCACCTCATTCGAAAAGATCAGAAAATCTTCGGTTTCGTTCCGCAGCGTCCCGCAACTATCTAAAGACGTGCTGATCAAGAAGTGGGTGGCGTTCTCGGTGCCTTTACATGAAGGATAGCGCAAGTGTAGTTGTTTGGCTTTAAAGTAGTGGAATCTTCGCTTTTCCAAATACACCGTCATTTTTTTCTGCCCGCACGAAACACTTGCGGTTTGGTCTGAAATCAAAAAGGTTTAGGGAGTTAAGAATAATTGAAGAAACTTATTTTAAACTCTTTATGTTACTGGCGATCAAAGGGCAGACTGGAGAAAAGAGGCAAACACACAACTGAAAAAATAATCAGCTGGTGACAAATGACTAGAGAAACATTTTTTTCAGAAAGAAACAAACACGCAAACAGACATCAATCATTTCTTACCAACACAAGTCATATTGTTTATCCCCATCGTCAATCCATTTGGACATCCGCAGTAGAATGTTCCAGGGATGTTGAAGCAATGATGACTGCAGCCGCCATTATTGATAGAACATTCGTTGATATCTAAAATGAAGTTGACACATGAACAACTCGATTTAAGAAAATAAATAATACCCAAATAGGATCAACGAAGCTTTTTACAGTGTACAGAAAGAGTTTAATGGATTTGGGGTAAGCAAGTGGCAAACGCATGGAACCCCACGTGAGAGGTTCGCGAGGGATGCGAGGCTTGACTGGGGGGCTGAGTGCGAGTCTGTTGCTGTTCTTGTGCCATAATCATAAAGATGAGTGTTACAATCGAGTAAATTGTTAGTTTATTTGCCGAAAAGAGCATTTTAAATACGGGAAAAGAATTTTTCTAACTTATTTTGTTTCTTGCCTTTACAAGATTTTCCATTCGACTGCAGTTGATATCCGCTTGCACAAGAACAACTGTAATTTCCCTGAGTGTTGCAACAGACTTGATCACAACCTGCCGATAATATAAACTCCGGAAAGATTTTTGACCGGGCTGAAGCATTCGAATGCACTGAAGAGGAAAATTAAAATAGTTAGTTCAAGGATTAAAACACTTTTCAAACGTTAAACAACAAATATAAAATTTAAGCGGAGTAGCTTTCCACTGTCTACTGGTGCAAGTTCATGCAACTGATTTTGCGCAGCTAAACTGAAGTAGATGCAAACAGGGTGTGCTCTTTTTGCATAAAAAGCACGACTTCCTTTCTGTGTCTTTTTAAAGCCAGGTACTGCTTGGTAAGCTTCAAAGATGATGAGTTTTTGACTTCCCTATGAGAATAAATTAGCCGAAAAAAAAAAGGATGCGTTGTGTCTTGGAATTCTGAGTATTTCACCATTGTTAAAAGTCGCCGTAAACTAAAATCGAGCGGGTGAAAATCGAAAATTAAGAAACAGAGCTAACAGAGCATAAAACTCTGATTTCTCTTAAAAGCTGCTTCATCTTGATTTCAGATGACCATATAGAGAACGGTTTATTCTTCGGGGAAAGATGTAACAACTCACCATAGGAACTTGCGTAGGCACATTCATTTACATCTTAAAGAGAAAGGATATTTGATTGATTAGCTGGGCAACCACTTGGTGAATGGCACAGGGACGTACGGATGGATTGATGGGATGGACATATGAATGAAATACTTGTCTCTTAAAAAGAAATAATAATGCAGTGTCTGACATCTTTGGTGTGTAACATGCCTGTGGTATAATTGTTAGAGTTCTTTCAGGGCATTTTGCATTGTTCACAAAGGGTTCCGGGCTAACAACATGAGTGTTAATCTATTGAAACATTTATACGAAGAAATTAACGTCGGATATACATAACTCATATTAAAGAATTTATGAAGAAAATGTGAAAGTGCTATCAGCGTACCTACACAGCTACGAAAGTCTGGCAAACTAAGCGAATATCCGAAGCGACATACACCATGTACATAGAATCTCCAAGCGTTTGAGGATGATATTCCGGGTGTGAAAGTGCCACCAGATGAACAGCCCTCTCCAACCACTACTCCTTTATCCATTAAGATTGCATATAACCCCTCCATGCTCAACACAGGATGGGGAATCAAAAAACGTAGTGTGGTTGAATTACTACGAATTGTCACGTTTTGAGAGAGTGCGTCCACTTTATAGACAGTTTGTCCACTGGGCAGCAAGACGAGTCTTATGTAAGACGATGCTCGAGGTTTTTTGATCTGTTGGAAAATTTAGAAACTATAAACCTTTACAGATTGCAGTAATTAAATTAGAGGGAAAAATGAACTCCAGCTGTGTCATTTCCGGAAGGAGTAAACGTGTCCTCTTCCACTACTCACAGGACTCCGACTGGAAATTGGAACAGTTGGTTTTTTTGGCGGGGGAAAAACTAGAGAACCTGAGGTCCGGTTCAAACGTCGAACTTTCCATGCACCAAACTTAATTAGTTATTCGGGTCGACCCAAATAATTAAGATCGACCGTTGATTCAGACGTCGAACTTTTTTGTCGTACTTATTACGAGCGCTGTAAAAGTCGAAGCATCACTCCTAGTTACTTTTTTATTTTCGATACTCATTATCTCTCCATCGTCTGCTGTCACTTTTCGCCAGCTATTTGTTGCCACACTTCTTCCACTGCTGGTACTGAAGTTGTGATCTTCCTTTACACAAGCAATGCAAAATGCAACGGATTTTCCGGCTTGCCAGCCAGGAGTTTCTTCCTCTTGAAACACAGAGCAGCGGTTACAAACTGAGTTGCTACATTTTAAGCAAGTATATTTTGTCGTGTCAAAATACGAAAAAGACATGTCCATATAGGCAACCACAGCGTGCTTTCTCCGCCAAGTCGCAATTTTTTCCCACTCTCATGCGCATGCTTATGGCGAGAGAAGTGGATTGTGGGATTGAAAAATGAATGATAATAATTTATGCATGAGGTTCGGCACATGAAGAGTTCGACGTTTGCATTAAAGTCGCTCCATAGTTGAACCGACCGACTGGCCATTTCGAACTTAATTCTTGGGTCGACCCAAATTACATCTGTCGAACTTAAATGATTCAAACGTCGCGCCCCACATGTACTTTATTAGGGGTATTAGGTTCGGCTCATGAAAAGTTCGACGTTTGAACCGGGCCCGAGAGGACTTTTGGAAAAAGAACGAGAGCCACCGAAAAATTCATCTCACATGAAAGAGGCGTCAGGCTCCGCAAGGATCCTGAGCGGCAGCTCTCGGAGACGTGCGTTTTTACCTCTGCATCATTTTCTCTGACAGAATGGTAAACTTTATTGACTTAACTACGCGCTGTCTTGTACCTGTGCAGAAATTTGATTGATAGATTACGGACAACTGAAAAGATGCAGGGAAAATAGGGATCTATTTGTTGTATATAATAAACAGACAAAACCAGTTCCTAGTAACCTAGGGTAGCCGTCTCCTCGCTCGTGAATCATGGATAAAAGGAACTCAAAATGCGCCAATTACATAAAAACATATTGCCGATGTTTTGGGCTATGAACTTGCCAAAAGCGTGAAATGAAGAATGTGTAAATAAGCGCTCGAAAGTGAGCAAACTAACCGATAAATTCAGCCCAAAGTGATTAATGAATATCTGCCGCATGTAGACTGTTTCACTGGAGAAGAGCCCGACCTAAATTGCTAATTGCTTCTAACGTCATGTCCCATAAAGTAACCCCTCAACCGAAAGTTGAAATTAGATGGCGAGTGACACTGATCATGTAACCTTACCAATCGGTCAAACTGAACGCTCCAGTTGGAATAACCTGATCCAAGTCTGCTGACTGGTGCTATGGGTTTGCGACTCGCTAAAATAACTCGGGGAGTACTGCCTGAAAAAAAGTTGTTATGTTTGAACCTCTTTTTACGCTTTTTACCAACACTTTCAGTGATAGTTCTTATTACACGTATCTGATGATACAAATTTGCCTTCATGTCGAATTCGTGAAACAAAAGGATTTCCAAGACTAAACTTTGTTACGAATGATACCTAGGTTATAGTGACTTCACTGCCCCGAACGGAAAGGGTTATCATATTGGTAGCATTTGCTGTTGAGACCATATCAAATTTTTTTGGAACATTTCAGGTGTTACTCAGGGGGCGTTATTTTAGTGAAGTTCATATTAAAATCAAAATTTAGAAGACGTAGTTCCCACTATATTTCCCGCTAAGTTTACGAAAGGCTTCACAATTTTTTTTCATTCGATGTAAGTCAATGTGTGATCGTGTTCACCTAACTGGCAGAGTCCTCGTTAACGTAAATTCGATATTAACGCCACACAATGTGAATTGAGTATCTACTTACTCATGCCGACAAGAATTGTCACACATCGCCACTCACTTTCCAGTCTGTGAAAAATACACGAAATAAGAGTAATGGGTGAATAGAGTAAAGGAAAAAAAAATGAATGATGAAAATTAGCAACAGCTGATCAGAGGAAAGGAAGATATCACAAGGAGTTAAATAGAATTCAAATTAAAAACAAGCAAACTGCCTGAAGCTGGAAAAAACGCGAATCACCTGTCAATTAGAAAAGAAGAATTTTTCAATTTTATACGATTTGAGATTAACATTTGAAAACTGTTAACCGCCTGAATTAATATACTTGGGGTTGATGTCCATACCGCCTGTAATTCTTACCCAGCAGAGTCTATTGCCTTAAAGCAGAACAACTGCTGTCCAATTTGATACTGACGTGGGTACCAGGTGACATTTCGGTAATAGATTTGTCCTTGATTGCGTAAAGATGTAAGTTGCATTCCAGATGGAGAAGCAGTAGTTATTTCCACAATGCTGAAATGAATGGATTAAATAAAATATTGTGTCGATGATATTAACTTAGATACTGAGGTCTTTTTAGTTCCCGTTCGGGCATGAAGAGTGACATTTCGTCGTAATACCAATGCCTATGTACCAGTAAGCCATGGCGGGGTAATCTCATAGTCATTTGAATTCACAAAATGTTTTTCACTTAAGTACCACTTGGTGGAGAAGTTGATTTGTTTTTAAGTCCTCATTTCTTCCAAAATGTTCTCCTCGATCAGAGTTAGAAGCGACTTTGCATCACAGCTTATTTTTCACTTTCTTCTTAGCTTGCGAGCATTCTCTCATTAACCCTGGCGTTACGAGCTCGAGTTGGCGAGCTGTTTTAGCGTGTGAGGGTTCTGGCACGAAAATATTCCAGAATTCTGACAGACTTTTTCGTTCGGAACCTTCATATACATATGTCCTCTGAGTCAAAATTTAATTTTGAAACTAAAAACTAAAACATTCGAAAGCAACTACTCTAGTTCGCTAAACTTACGACTTTGAGAGATCTGCAACCTGCACTTCTATCACTGCAATATATGCAGAGCCAATCGAGACATCAGAACATTCACCGTCTTTTGGGGTAGATGCTGTATAGACAGGCTTTTTATGACAATTGCCTGCATGGTTACCAATTACCATGACAAGAAACTGTAATGGGATACCGCTGAACGGTGTGACGCTACCAAAGTTTGTAGTTCCCGCTGGAAAGTCTTCTAAAGTTAATGCCACTGCATAAATTCCGCCAACTGCTT